CTGATTTTTCTGAAGAAACTTGATGATTTACTTTTAGAGTCGTATTGGTATATGTAGTAACCTTACACGATAAGCCATCGGAAGGCGGTCCAAAGCTTGAGAACCATCACAACGTACTGTCCCAAGGAATTTGTTGCTTTCGCGGGCCAACTGATTATGTTTTATACGTAGGCGATAAGTGGAAAGTATGACATGAAGACTTCATCAATCGTAACTGTGTAGCAATAGTAGGATAATAGGAAAAAGTGGTGATATAGAAAAGCGTTGCTACACATATGTCGAACTGCCTTCAGCTGAAAAAATATATGGCACTCCAAAGGCAGCTCAAGTTTCATATGAGCACCCAAAAAGATGGCCCATCCACATGAATTTAGCATTTGATGAAAAGTCATTAGAACGATACTACTAAAGAGTATCTGCATTATATGATAGTAGCTAGTATTAAAGGCATCTAGATCTCGATTGTAGAGTGCGTGCCGTGCAGATTCTATGAGAAAGACAGTTTAAGCACACAACACGAGCGACTCGTTGTAAGTCCAAAGAGTTCCTACTGTTGCAAGACAAAAATTTTCTGACGTGCCCAGCGCTGATAATGCTAGGCAATGGGTGTCACAACAATTTGACACTGTGATACCTGGTCCGTGCGTTAGGCTTATGTCAAACAGTTGCCCAGTCATCATCTATATATTCGATCAAATCATTGTCATTGCAAAGTAAAAGTAATTATGAATCTAATGTCAGCCACTTTGACATTGTCAGCATTAATTAAAAACAGTAACAACATGAGTTATTTCCTAACTGTCAAATGAAGCGGCGAAGATGATTAACTTCACAGTCAGAAAAAATTGACAACTGCAAGGAGGTTAAGCGACACGTAAATTCCTTCATAGAGAAAGTCGCAAATGAGTTTGGGCAGGACATTAACTAAAAGAGCAGGTGCATTTTATTGAACACGGAAGTTATCATTGTGAATATTAATTGCCGAAGAGCACAAAATTTGATTAAATGAACACGATCAGCGGACAATTAAGTCAAAAAATAGAAAGTCACTTTTACAAAGTGCCCTCAACAAGCAGTTCACGCAGCCCGCAGGCTATACAAAAAGCATGAAGAATGTAAAAAGAAACAGAAGACGTGTGTGGAAGGAGTAGGGAGGGGAAACCAACCAAATGCCTCTGCCTGGGGTGTCCCGGTCTCCTAATTCAATTGGCTTTAAATCAACCAACCACAAACCCAAGCCATTTTTGATACCAACGAGCGGGAGCCATGGTGTACACATAGTTTGCGAGTCAAGTGCAAGCAATCGGTTGAATACTGCTTGTGAATGGAAAAAGGGGAAGGGGAAAGGAAAGAGGCAAGAAGGTAGCCGGAAGAGCGAGGAGGGAAGGAAGACGGAAAGAGGTAAGGGAAGGAGTAAGGAAGGAATTGACTCTCGAAACACCCAAAAGGACGGCAATTGAATACTGTTGCTCAAAGCTCGGATGCTGAGAGTCGAATGCCGAGCATAGATTGTCGATCATTGATTGCTGATAATCGATTGCCTAGAGGTGAGACCCGAGAGTCAAGTTTTGAGAGTCGAACGTGATCTACAGTGGCACCTGGTGCCCCGTTGCGATTATCACCATGGCAGACTAGACCAGCAAACAAGGCATCCAACCAAAAGGACGCTACCGTATCTCTATAGCGGGAAACCGAAAAGAATTTCTCCACCCTCGGAACTCGATGTCTGAAAGCCAGGACCAAGAAAGGCAAGACCAGGACAGACGGAAGAGCCAGAGCCAAAACCAAAGAGCCAAGGGAAATAAAAGGGAGTAAAGGAAAAAAATAGTGGGCGTGTTTATGTCTTCTGTATCCATCCGCAGGCTTCAAAAGCCCGTCATCTGGATTGTGATAAGCATGGGGGAAAGTAAAATGACAGGGAAGAAACCATGTGAAGAAGAGTTGTTGAAGAGACACGGTCAAGCTTTCAAGAAGAAGGTGTATGTGGTCTGCGTGTATTGATTGTCCTACGAAATATGTTTCACCGGTATCATGCAGGGCGTGCCCCGACGGTGTCGCCGCTTCTTTTTGAATAGGAAGATACGTGCACCCGTCGGGCCACAAGGCGCACAGACAGCGTTCGCAGGGTCTCAGCAACAAGATCCCAGAGAAAACGTAAATGGTAGGTGCTGGGAATGGTTGACATTATAAAAAATAAAAGTTACTGGTATCGTTGTAAGAAGCTCACACAAGAAGCCACAATCACAAGAAGTAAGGGCGCAGAAGTTGATAACCGTGCTGTACATCTGATCTGAATAAAAGTGTATATCAAGGACAAAGTGGTGAAGCTCGGTATCGGTAGGAGAAGGAGGATCTGGCTTACAGCCCTTCTATTTGATAGTAGCCTTTAACAAACAAACAGATCTGGGTCAGTGTTGGCTGCCTCATTCTGAATGTCGACTCCTTTGTTCGCGAATCACAGCATTGTTCATGACCAAATCAAAATCCCTTTAGCGACGATCTCCAATGGCAACTATGTTGCTCAATGCAAATGTCTTTATTGTGCAATTAGGAACGAGAGTGACGAGTCTCGCTCGCATATATGAAGAAGATACAACAATATAAAACACCGCACAAATAAATTCAGCGAACGAGAAGCATTTTTTATTTGATACATGATACTACTAATCAATTAAAGGGTGTCGATGTCTTAGCTTCCCTGCTCTTAGGGGGTAACCCTCTACCACAAAGCTAGGGTCTTGTCTTGAACGCTTTGTGGATCATGGAAGGTCGATTGGTATTGAGATGCCTACTCCCATCTCACCAATCGCGAAGCTACAAGAAAAAAGCGTTAGCCCTTTGACTACCTAACTTACCTCAAGATCGCCGCGTACTTTTCGTTCGTGTTTTCGCTCGTTTGCGTTCGTAGCTGTTTCTATGGTCTTGTTTACGTCTCTTCGATCGTTTCGTATGGTTCGTTTACGTTCGTCTCCTAATCTAACCTGTGGAGAGAAGCCATTTGTGTTAGAAAACGATGCGACTTGACTACGTACCAGAAGATAGTGGGTGTTTTCGTTTGTGTCAAAGAAAGAAAAAAGAAAAAGGAAAAAGGAAAAAGCGAGGGAGCAACACGCTGCGGAAATTGGGTGTCTTTTTATGGGCAAAAGTTCATTTCCAAAAAGAACGCTGGTCTGGGCCCAATGAGATTCTGAAGAGACATCCTACAGGTTCAGGGCCCGCTTCCTTTTTTCTTAAAATAGGCAAAGATAAGCTCCGTGCTTAACAAAGCGCAGAACAATGACAGACGACAGTAACACGATCACAGCGCGCTTTATCACACTTTGGTACACCTTTTTCATCTTTTTTATTTTTACTTTCTGTGTTCGCCTAGTACAGCTCGCGAAAATAATGGAAAGGAAAAAAGTTGGTTCGGATGATACGTTCCGGGCCAATCTGGTTTGCTTTTTTCACATGTACCATACTTCACGCCCACCTTGGGAATAGCAGACAGATAGGATATAGGGTCGACGCTGTTTTTCTTGAAAAGAATCCCTTTCTCTGCATCCACCATGCTTGCCAGCTTACGATTATCGTTCGTTAAGCCGACCAACGAGCGAGCTCAATGCGAGACTAAAGACGACAAGCAGTCTAAAACCACACCACCATAAGCGTATTTAGCGTAGTGTTTTCGCTCGGACGAGTGACGTCCCCCAGCTTTGGTTCCATGCCCCCACCAACCCCCACCCCCAACTTTATTCACAGCCAGCTCGGAAGGTCTTCGCATGAAGAAGCCGAGCATGACAGCAAAGTACAATGGAGACCCTGCTCAAATAACATTGTAACTTGGCCCCAGAGCCTCAAAAAAACAAGGGTTTAGTATGTGCGTGCTGCTACGAGTCTGCACATTGCGCTGGTTGCAACTGTGTGAAAAAAGCGCTGCGAATCTCTTCGCAAGAACAGTCGCCATTTCGCTCGGAATTGGTCAAAATGGGTGACGCAATAAAATAAAATGTGTTTTGACATGCTTGTCCTGGCAACAAGCGGCTTTCAGGAACATGGATTGTCATGACTACTGAATGCCATGGCAATAAGCAGCTCTCTTACGCAGCGTAGTTAAGCAAGCCTCATAAAGAAGAATGGTCACTGAGTGGTAAAGAGATCATGGGTGGAGTGAATCGAAAGGGGGAAATTTTGTTGACATGCTTTGTGCAGATCAGAGCAACTACGAAAAGGAAGCAGGATACAGAAAGCGCGTTGTTCGTCTTCTCTTCTTTTCTTATGATGAATCATCATACGATAAACACCAAAGAGTATAGGCTGTTATAACTTGGACGATAACGACATAGTCACTACTCCTTATGAGAGCAATCTGATGCTCGTAGACTGGGTTCCGCCCGCGTACCCCTGGTAGTACTAAAAAAATCCCAAAAAGTAAGCTCACCGACCTGAACACGTCTATTCTGTCTGTTACATACTATGGAAGAAGGAGAAGACAATGGTATTGATGCGCACGTGAAACTCAATGAATATGATAACAGTGATATCGATAATACCAATAATATTGATAATATGGAAAAATGATGAATTGGTATACTTATAATAGAAACACATAGTTAGCTTGCTACAAAGTAGTTATAAACATACCGTTTTGTACATCATATATTCTTGCTGGTTAGAACAGCCAGATGTAGTCCCACTGTCTGTGCCCATCGTCATAGTTACTATCAGCTTTGATGTACAAGCAGTATTTCTTATCAGGGGCTTAATATGGAATTATACCTGAGCTTCTAAAATATGTTGAGTGTGGTTCAGCAGCTGCTCGAAGAAGCGCGATTTGTCTATATCCATGTATGACACGGCTAGATGCACTATCGTCGCATTGTTGCTGATAATATGTAGCTCTTGATGTATCTGTAGCGCTTTATACATACTCTGCTACCTATCTTAGTGAATGAGAATGCAATAATCAGACGGGCCAGTTATAGTATGTTAGATCTGGGTTTGCAGTAGCACAAAAAACAGTTCGTGAGAAGAAATTATGGACTATGAAAACCAAATAGAAAGGTATCACATAATTGAATTTATGTTTGTTGTAAGAGTACAATTGATATAAACTAGTGCAATCCGCAGTCGTGGAGAGAAGTTATTATGTATTGATATATACATACAAATGATTTTTCTTTATCGAACGTATTTTACATTTCCTTTGTTAGATCTCTTTTCCATCTTGGCCTGACGTTTCGATTTGGATCCCTCTGCTCCTTTAGCAGAACCCTCTCCTCCAGATCTGTTCTGGCGAATATACGACAAGATCATTGGGAAAAGCTTGTAGCTAGCATATCCTGGAATCTATATAAAACGAACGAGGGCAATATTAAAAGACAGGCCTCTTACCGCCAAGTAATAAACAAAAGGGATAAAAACGTACCACGAGGAAGGTATACCAAAATTTGGTGGAAACAAAGGCGACCATTATCTGCGTAAACCAAGTGACATAGATAATGTCAAACATGTATCTAGGAACGCAAAACCATATCGATCCTTTAGTTATCTCCCTCTCTTTTAACCTTTTTCCTTTCATTTCATCTCATCCCATCAAATAAATCCATTCGCTAAAACTTACGCAGTCAATCCTTCAGCATTCATATCATCACCACTCTTGATCAGAGTGCCTGTTGCATCATAATACGGGCGGCCAGTGGTCTCAAGTGTGCTGTACATAAACATGGATACACCCGTCGTCAAGATATAAAGCGCGAGTTGTGCCGTGGTAAACGTGGGCCAGTTGTAGATAATACGATATCCAATGAACAAAAGCTAAACAGTGTGCATAAGTGACGTTTCTTTTCTTGGCAAGATTTCCTCCATCTCGCTCCCTTTTTTTCACCTCAGGACCAACTTACATGAACCACCATGAAACCTATACGAAGGTTATCCAAGATTTTGTTGTTCGCTATTGCGAGTTTCTTGGCTGATGCATTTGCCTGATGAAATTCAATGACATCGTTTACTTAGCTCCTTTTCCCTTTCCCTTGTGAAGTATGTTTGTGCATGCTAATAGATTATGTACTGACCATGGTATTAATAGAAGATTAACGAGGGTAAAGTAGTAGTAAGTTATTCGGTGTAATTTTTTTTGCGCGATCCTGCCCTTTTAAAGCTTTAATCGTAAAAGAAACTCAGCGTGTACTCTTTCATTTTTCACAGGCTCCCAAATGTGTTTGCAGCACAAAAGGGAATTGGTTCAGTAAAAAAGTGGCATTTAAGCTTTCAATGGAGTACACAGCTGGTACAACCCTGTCCTTCTTTGCTTTTCTTCACATTGCAAAAGTGCGTTGTGTGCTGATAAGTGTATAATTTCTCTAATGTCTATATATCCAGGCAACGTTTTTTAAAGGCTTCTTATTTCAGATGCACCAGCAGCGCTACTGGGTTAATATGCTTAAATGCTGATGCATACAGTATCAACTTTGTTGTCTGACAACGCACTGATCCTATTTTCTTGGTCCATGCCAACTTGCTGTTACACAGCTGCCGTCTGGGTTACAGGATATCTTTCCAAAGACACCTTCCGTTCACTGATAACGACAGCTTGCCTTGTATTTGAAGTGCAAGCAATCCGTTACAAAGAGAGGCGATAAGCCCTATCTGGTTCATCCCTCTGTTTCTGTATATCATCATCATTGTAGCATGTGTATTTGAGTTAGATAACTTCCGCTAGTAATTCTGCTTCTTTACAATCATACACGCGGATCAAGAGAACGACCTCCTGTTAGTAAACATGCATTTAATTCGGACAAACAAATTAAAGAAGCTCTTTCGCTATAAACACAAATGCAAGTTTCTATTCCTAAAGGACCTAATGGTCTTATGTTGGAGTTGCTTTTGCATCTCTCTGCCTGCTGCTGCATTCTACTTAAGCCTAGAGGTGAATCCACATGATACTTATTCAGAAATGTTTGGTGCCCATGTGGATGGCAAGACTGGAGGCACTACGTACACTGCAGGAACAAATTAGGAATCTGACAGGTCGAACAATTTCGAGAAGAGTGAAACAATGGCTAATGTATTCGCAAGTGCCCTGGGCAAATTAATACCGAGAAGCAGCAATTTATCAGGATATTGACGTGTCTCATATGCGAATCTGATTTGTACATAGTCGAGGTTATACACTTTCAACCGCGTGCCAAGACTTGCAACAAGTTGGGTATTATGTAATACTGGCCAGCTGATGATGCCACACTGAGCAACTCTTGTCGAAATGTGGCTACGAAACGACCGTCATCATCTCCATCCAGATTATGGCGTCAAGGCGTTTTTATATTTGGACCGGGCCTATGTATGTACTTTTATAATAAAAGGCAAGAACGTAGTTCCGGAGAACGTTCGATACGTAGGGGTATTCCAAGAAGAAGGGGTCCGTACAGAAATAGTACGCCACACCAATATTATTTAGTCACGGAATAATTCAACCTCACTTCACTCTCGTCTTTTTTCTTCCCTACAATCCCTCCAACACTCTCCCCCTCTCCCTTCATTTCCTATTCTCATGGCAGCAACGGTTACCGTAGTCGATACCACCGTCGCAACTTCAAAGCGATCGGCTACTGCTACTGCTACTGCTACTGCCACCGAACCATCACCACTGCCAGAACAACAACAATCGACCAAGTTACTAACGGATCTGGAAACGGACCTAACGCCGACTCGATTGCCAAAAGAGAACAACAGCAACGTCGTAATCAATGCACTGTGCCGCATCACACTTCACTTGATTCATCTTGCCTACCTAGCATTCATCATATACAAGAAACTACGAACCATGTTGCTCGACTTTTATCGTCATATCGTGATCGCGCATAACAACGATATAGAGGAGTTTATTCGTTTCGACAAGGCACAACTGACCAAAATACCAAAACACCTGTCGATCCTGATATCCAGCGAATTATCTCTTGAACGCACTCTAAAAGAATGGGAAACTATTGTAGATGATATCTGTCGAGTATCATGCTGGGCCTGGGAGTTTGGAATTGAGGAGCTGTCTGTCTTTGATGCATCAGGTAAAGTAATACAAATAATCATATGAAAAAGTTGGATATTAAATGCCTATTTTTTGACATATGATATTAGGCGAACTTAAGGCGTTAGGTATCGATGTCTATAAACGTCAATCAACAATGCTACATCAATGGATAAGCGATAAGGAGAAACGCGGTATGATGATGAAGCCTTGTGCGAGAAATCAAGGAGAAACCGTTAAGGATATCATTGTGGGATTAACACAGTTTGGCTAGGTCTGAAATTCTCGATCATATCGGCTGACGACGGACGTCCTTCTATATCCCGAGCCGCTCAAAACATTGCACGACAAAAGATACCCAGCGAAAAGATTGATATTGCATTGGTAGACGAATTTGTCCATGGTAAGCAATTGTGAATAGATCGAAGCATCGATATGCGTATTTATTAAACTGTTTTTTTTTTATACAGAATGCAGCGACATTTCAGACCCGGAGCTGATGCTCGTGTACGACGCATTGCCACATAGTTACATCTCATTGGATGGCTTTCCCCCCTGGCATATCCGCTTGACTGAATTCATGTATGTAATTGCGAGAGGGAGGGAAGGAGCATCGGATACAAATACTTATCCTGCGTCATTTGTTGCCCCTTGCTTCTAGAAATAAGGGAACGTCCCACCGACTAGACTACTGGACACTATCCAGCACATTGTCCAAATATTCCAAGGTTGAGCAACGCTTTGGCCGATAGACAAAATGGCCAAATCCTCTTCTTCCCCATATCCATCACCATTCACAACATTTCTCATTCATACGCAACACACCATATATATGTAGGCAATAGTACTACTATTTGGCAGATTGAAAAGTACCATGCTCACTACTGCTCAGAAGCAATTTAGGCCATTTTCCCTACTCCCTCTACCTCACCGCCCCCCTAACCTCTTCTCAACATTTATAGCACTGTACGTTCTCCATTGATTAAGGAGTACTATGCTCAACATCATAAATAAATGTTAGATGTTGAGAAAACGCCTACCTCCTAATATATGATTGATGGTGTAATTTTTCATCCAGAAGAGTCAATGGCAGCGGTAGTTGAACTGTGACATAAATATACATGTATTCTACCATGTCATTATCATATAAGATTGATTACGTCGCCCAGTAGGTCACAACCATCGCTACTCAGTTGACAAAGCTGCTGCTGACTAAACGAAACTAACAAACGTATTCGAAAGCGACTGGGTCTCTCAGTACAATGCGCGCTCGCTATAGTGTATTCGATATAGTGATATTTCAATTTGGTGATGGGTTTTTGGGGTCCAGAGTACATTAAGCCAGGAATTATTCTTATTCGCTATTGTGATATGTGGTATCAACCGTTAGATAGTGTACAGAGCAGACCAATATGTGGTATAATTTTATTTATTGGAAAAAAAGAAGCTAGTTCGCTTTGCACCGTTTACCTTTCGAAATTATAAGCATAAAAATCCGACTGTCCAGATCGTCTTCATCTACAATTGTATTTTAAAAGTGAAAAGTCGCTCCTATATTATCATACTGTACTTCCTCCCTCTTATATACTACATACTATGTAGTGGATTCCGTCCTTTTCTTTTTCGACAACTGTCTGTCCTTATCAGAGAAAATCCTGTGAGTCCTTATATGATATGCATTTACACCAGCCACTTATGAACGTACTCTAATATACCCTTGATTACCAGTTTGTTTATGTTTATACTAAACAATAATTGCAAGCTTTTGCCGCTTCGTGGTGAGTGATTGCTCTTTTTGAGTGCCGTTAGGGGTGTTGGACCCATCAATGATACGCTTGGAGCCAATCGTAATGCTGTCAGCTGTAATAAGACAAGATGATATTGGAAAATTAAAGTGAAAGATAGAATTTTGTGAGTTTTTATCATCACTAGTGGCAGGACGAGACTCCAGAGCACCCTTTGCGCTTCTTTTGCGGAGTTCTCCAAATAGTAACATGGGACATCTATTCGCCGGATCTCATTGACAGAACTACAATTCGATAGAGTTATTCGCTATAATAATGGGATTTTGGTCTTAATGATTACATAACTATAGCGAGAGTGTAGTACTATCATCTTGGACTATACAGTGGAACCCCACCGTCTTTTTGCAACAGCGGGAATACGTTTGAAAAGTTGCAGAATATGAGGATCTGCAAATCATGCTTGCACAAGTAAGATCAAAACCCGGAAAAGTACGAATAGTAGCGCATACCAACCTAAGCAGGAGAACAAGATGTTAAAAAAGTGGAGTCTCGCCAGCAAGCCACTGTCAGTCATCGCTGAGTTTTGCTTCAGATGCTCAAGTTAAATATTGCTTTTGTGGTATTGGCTAGATGACAGAGTGATCAAAGATTAAGTATAAACCTTCAGTGGTTCTCCGTTCAATTACTGTCTCAATAGTTTTGATCTTTCATGTATGTAATTGTGCTTAAATCTTCCCCGCTTTGTGTCAACCCTCAGCTTTTTCAACACTTTTCAGTCCTTCGTGCAGGTTATATTTAAGCGGGGGAAACACTGTGAAATTTAATGTGAAATAAATGGATGACCTAGATGCGCTCGGAAATGCATATTTTACAGCCATATAACTGCACCTCAACAATTGAAGAGGACATATCGTTTTGCTATGCTTATGCGTCTATTGTTCCTGAAAAGCTGTGAGTATCTGCTCATATACGTGAATGGATAGAAATCTATCTATTTTGTTCTAATCTACACTGATCGAACGCTTTTTATTTCTATCTTGAAAAGTCCTTAAATGTGCTTCTTGTTCCTCGCTCTATTTCTTGTCGAAATGTGCATCTCTAACGAGCTGATTTTGGCTCATGTGTTGACTTGTGCCATCTTCCCTGAAGACCAGCATTATGCTATGTTATTACTCCCAAGGGGTATTCCCACACGAGCACCTCGGTTTTAGCAACGCTGATTCTATCTCGGCATGGTCCCTTGTATGGCTTTCAAAAGATCCTCACCATTTTTTGCATTCATTCTTTCATCAATACTGTACATGGCTCGTCAGGGGGTCGACGTATACTATCGGTGATAAAGTCATTGACATTGAAGGTCCCCAACGTTTTGTCCGGCTCGCATTTCGAGATAGTGTTGATACCAACCTATCATTAGGTTATTATTGAATCAAACCATTGTGCCTTACAAAATGACTCTACGTCGTGTTTCCTTAGTATTTTGTTACAGGACACCCTGGGTCCACTCAAACGGGAATTTGTACAATTAATTTCATTGTTACTATGTACGCAGGCGATGGTTGATTCAGGGGCACTTCGCAAAAATATTTTCCCGGTTTTCTCAGGGATTACCAACCTCTTTTACCACACAAACAAAAGCGAATTAACCTTACATGGTCATGCCGTCGATCCATGATGCGGGGTAAAGAAGCGAACTAGACAGCAGTATCAGAGTTCACACATAAAAATCAGTGGGAAAAAAATATTTCCTTTATATCTGCATTAGTCATTACTTCCCTTGTCGCTTTGCCTCCGCTTGAACACTCTTTTTGTTATTCTGCGAACCTCCATCTTCCCCGCGTAAAAAACACGCTTAAAATTTCTTTCTCTTCCTTTTTTAATTCGCTTTTCTTTTCTTCTATCATACAGACAGCAAATTCTCGATAAACATGGTTATTTACAAGTCGGCTTGCGATCCTATCACAATTCCCAATTTGGATTTATACACCTTCTTGTTTCAAGACAACAAGTACAACACCTCTCGTTCTCGAGACGCTCCCAGAGTCATTGATGGTGCCACCGGCAAATCGCTGTCATTCAATCAAATATTTGACCTTTCTGGCCGGATTGCTACTGGATGGAAGGAAAAGGTTGGATTAAAGAAGAAGGATGTGGTCGCAGTGTATGCACCCAACCAGTACGATCATTCCGTCTTGTACTTCTCGCTTCTCGCCGCAGGATGCACTGTTACACCTGGGTAAGCCGTCTATTATGGATCCATTGGGAAGATGCGGGGAAAAAGGAGTCAAGATGATGAGAACTGACATGGAGCTCTTTATGTATACAGAAACTCAGACTATACCGAAGGTAGTATAAGGGACAGATAGCAAATATGGATGATGGTAGCGACAGACAAGCTGATAATAACCTCTGTTTTGCGTATATCGCCAGACGAGTTCCATCATCAAATCCATACGGCAAGTGCCAAAGCCATTGTCACCATCCCGGAACTGCTCCCGGTTCTGACCAAAGTAGCAGCGAAAAACAATATTCCCAGCGAACGCATCTTTGTGTTCCGTGGCAACGAGACAACGACTGTTCCTTCCTTCTACACACTCGCCGAGGGCAGTAAGCATATTGGCCACCCCGTTCAAGGCATCGATACCCATGACGTTGCCTTCATTTGCTTTTCCAGCGGCACCACCGGATTAGCCAAGGGCGTCATGCTCAGCCATCATAACTTTATTGCACAATGTCTTCAGGTCACCAACTTTGACGCCAATGCCAACATTGGCACTGACATTCTGCTTGGCTTCTTGCCTTTTTTCCATATTTTCGGTTTGACCAACTTGGTGCTCGGTTCGTTCTATCGTGCCACCCCGCTTGTTATCATGGCCAAGTATGATTTGGAAAAGTTCTGTCAATTGGTGGAGAAATACAAGGTGACGAACGTCAGTATCGTGCCACCAGTGGGTAAGTAGTATATGATGATTGTCACCAAAACGGCCGAGAGAGAGAGAGAGTGTGTGTGTGTGTGTGTGTGGAAAGGCGTGAATTACAAGCGTGTTAATGACCTTGTTTTTGTTTTCTCCAGCTGTTCATCTCGGTAAAAGTCCGATTGTCGACAAGTACGATTTGAGTACTCTTCGTGTCCTTGGTTGTGGTGCTGCTCCCCTCGGCCGTGAACACATTGAAGCTCTTCAACGACGCATTCCTGCAGCTGTAAAGCAAGGGTAAGCCCGCCTTATTTATGCCATGTAATCAATGGTTAATTTAAACAGTCATGGTATTGACAATATATCCTTTATGTGATGACAGATACGGAAGCACTGAAAGCTGCGCTGGCGTAGTCTATCAGCGTGTTGGTATCAGTCCCGCTGGTTCCATCGGGTACCTCACAGCCAACACGGAGCTCAAAATAATAGACCTGGAGGGAAATGGTATGGATCCGTGAAGAGACCAAGTGATAGCACACGATTAATCTCTTACAGTATACACTAACAACCTGCCGGTGGCGGCAATGATATTTCACCATAGAACTTGGCGATGATCAAGAAGGTGAAGTTCTCCTTCGGGGACCTGCAATGATGTTAGGCTATTTAAACAACCCCAAGGCAAATGCAGAAACGTTTACCGAGGACGGCTGGATGAAAACCGGTGATGTGGGAAAATTCAATAGCAAGATTGGCGAGTTCTTTATTACTGATCGTCTAAAGGAGCTCATCAAGTACAAGGGCTTTCAAGTTGCTCCAGCCGGTAATCTGAAACAATATTTTCTTGTCGTGGTGAAATTGTGCTTGTGGTGAGAACAGTATTTGCTAACTTTCAAGAACGTATATTATTGTACAGAGCTTGAGTCACTTCTTATGGGTCATGAACAAGTGGCTGACTGCTGCATTGTGGGTGTGTACGATTCTTCACAAGCTACTGAACTTCCTCGAGCCTATGTTGTCCTTCAAGCTACTGCTCAACCCACCGAAAACATGGCCAAGGATATCATGGATTATGTTGCACGTAATGTAGTGAATTACAAACGACTCCGCGGTGGTGTTCGGTTTGTTGATGCTATCCCAAAGAATGCCAGTGGCAAGATTTTGCGTCGTGAGGTGAAGAAGTGGATCAAGGCCGAACAAGAGGAGGAGGCTGCTAGTATTCGAGCCAAGTTATAAAAAGAAAGGATTGTTATATATTGTGAAAATATTTAAAACGGGTCAGCTATGATGGTGAGCACCCCTTCCTTTGGCCAACGTTTTGTTGTAGTCCATGTTCATATTAATCATATTATTAGAGGATAAAGCAAGTTTACCATAGATTTTTTTTAATCCACATCCCTACCATCCTCAGTACTATATACTATAAACACCATTTCGTTCCATCTCGTTTTAAAGAGACAAATTGATCAACACTGCAACCAAAGTGCAAAAGGCGATACTGTATGTCAGTGGTATCAAAGTGGGACCAGTAATATAAAAAATTATCCCGCCATTCTCTCCATGTATCATAGAAACGATGCCAAAAGTACGTGGTCTAAACAACAAAAGGAAAGTAATCATTTCTTCCAAAAATATTGGTCTTAGTGTGTACGCTAAATACCTAATGCAGTCGACCCCTTTTAAATCACACCCGTTAGCGCCCAATCCTATCGAAGTTTCTATAGCTATCCAACAAGCATGAACGGCAGAGATACTAGTAAAACTTGTTCTCGCTAACTTTAACCCTTACTATTTCCACACGAAGTTTGACATTTTACGCTATGAAACTATTGGTGGTCTACTGTAAGAACACTGTTCATACTCAAGTAGCTACTTATTATCATCACTCTCTAGATTAAATCAATTCCGGTAATTAAAAGGTAATATACACTTTACTTTTGAAAATTATAATCTACAATAATACAGCGCTAATGGGTATCACTAATAATTAGATAGGCAGACCAAAGATTGCTCTAATGAATGAACAGTCAATTTAGCATATGTACACTATGGAATATGATGCTGAGTATGTCATATGACATGTTATCCGGTCACTTGCAGAGATGAACCAGCATCATATTCCTTCTTCAGATCAAGAGTTTTAATCTTGCCATCTTTTGGGATAGTTCTTCGTCCGGACATGCTGCACTCATCCGCTCCATTGCGACGGTTATCGCCTCGAGGTAGCACGGCATACAGCACAGACGATATACTCCGACTTTGACGGGATATCTTACATAATCAATATCCACCTCATCCCAAGGATCGCATGTGATGGTCGTTGTGGTTGCCCGAAAAAACGTGCCATAAGTGCGGACGAGAAAAAGAGCAGGATAAAGAACGATGGTGTTAGAGTCAAAAACGTGACGATGCTGAGGGCGGCAGTGGGGGAATGAACAGGGTGGCGTATGAGAGTCGAGGATAGTACAATATCGGAATTATAATACAACTAGTAGATGGGGCTGAAGAAAGACATTGACGGGCAATGCTAGCACGTAAGTGAAGGGTGAATTTTGGGATAAAGAGCAGGCGACGTCGTTGACAGCGGTAATGAAGTGCATGCCCAAGGGAATGAAAAGAACGGTGGTGGTTGTGCATAGTATGGTAGTAACAATTGATGGTGGCAGTGGCAGGTATGTATCGTAATTTCAGGCTCACTGACTTGTTCTTTTTCGTCTTCATCAGCAAATCCGGAGCTGCAAGGGCAGGTTGAGCAGCGGCCTCGTAATCAAGTGCGTCTCCAGCAGCCAAGCAGTAATCCGTAAGACGACGTGATTGGAAAGACAACGACACCGGAGTGGATGATGATTGCGACACAGTTCACAGATACAAGGAAAACCTGAGCATAGACATCACCAAAGACGCAGGAAATCGGCTACGAGCTAGCTGGACGATGCTGGAGATGCCAAAGGCCGCATGCAGGGAGCGTGCACAATGCGGCACACAGAAGTTGAATGATGAGCGGGCACAACAGCAGGAAATACAGCAAGATCACGACTGCGGTGGACATGGTAACGGAGAGAAACTCGTGAACGGGCTTGAGCACAAAAATTTCAATGACACTGTAAACCACAAAATTTGCCGGTTTCTATGCAGTGTGATGTGTTAAGATACGCTTCAGTCTCGGTGCTGTGTATATTACTTGTAGGCACCGATAGGAAATGGATACAAATATGAGAAGTATGATATATAATATACATTGGCTGCGCTTGCCAAATGTAAAAGCTGGAACTCTGATAGCGACGATTATGACCATTTATCTATGTAGTCTTGCCAACACCTGCGGACGATTAACGTTTTCTGCGAGGACCAATAGCGTCCGCTTAGACCATTTGCATTTGTGTGAGGGTTGTATCAACTGATGCGTGTACAGCTACCACCGCCTATTTATCCTATCCGGAACGACCGCCTGCGTGTTTCGCCAGTAAATATTGTCCCGTACAGTCAAAAACTATGATCTATTATCTATGCGTTTGTTTTAAAACATATCTTTTCATATGTGTCTAATGCGTGGTATTGAATGCGAGATTATGGAGGAGAAGCGAAAGAATTAAAAATAAACTAATGTTGAACTTCTAGTAGGATTTCATAGGTAGCAGAATACATACTGTAACACAAACTGCTTGTTCATTCATGATAACGGGTTCTTTGTAGCAGTATGTTTGCATCCAAAGCCAGCACAGAAAACAGTTCCTATAATAACGACATCCAATACATCCAAAAGGCCAGGCTGTTCGTCGAAAATAAAGAAAAGCCGAAGCGATTCCGTTCATGCACATCAGCCTACCGGGACCTGCAGGGGTAAGTTGTACGTAGATCAAGTAGTTTTTCATACAAATGTATTCAAGTCCATTACCACCAATGCAGCATAATTTAAATGATAGTGGTACCGGCATGACGACAAAGTTGGCCACATGCGGTGTATTAATCTGTGCCCTACTGGTTGCTGCAGTTGAAGTTGCAAAGTTGGTCTCAGAGCGCATTCCTTCGGTGTACCTTTATGAAGGTAGCACTAGAGTGATCATTCTTCTATATTTCGCAAGTAGTTCTTTTGTTCTAGGAAGAAGATTGCGATGATGGCAAAAAGGATTTGGAAAAGACATGTTTATTTTTTATGGTAATATAAGCTTCTAGTAGTAAAATTATATTTAAAGAATCGTGCATTCCTACAAATGTTAGTAAGCTTTTGTCCGTGATAACGATAGCCCTCTGATTTTTTTCTCTCTTTTTTTTTCTTCTATAATTTTTTCTTCAACTACATAATATTCTGATTTATGGGATTCGTCTGTGGCAATTTTTATGGTCTTTTTCGTCTTGATAATTGTCGTCTTCAGTAGCCTGAGGTGCGTGATATCTGTGTGATTTGCTTGTTGATATCTTCGGTCATTTTTGAATGTGTTATCATGTCGTGTTATTTTTGCGTTCGAGTATGTATGTCGATCTGTTTTCTTGTTTCTTTTTCTTTTTTTCTTTTCTTTTTTTTTTCGCGCAGTCTTCGCTAAATGCTCTGTTGTCTTGAGCTCGACGCGAATGATATGGAGGCCGTTGAAGTCGATAATAGACTGTGCTTGTGGCTTTGTATCGATGATGATCCTCAGCGCTGTATTTTGTCTCTAAATATCAATAAGCCTTTCACGTTAATTATCAATGTCTTCATCTCAAGTGAATCCGTGTGACTTATTTGTACTTACTGCTGATTATTTACACCATATAATTGCCCCAGTCTTGCTTTTCAGTCTGGTAGTGGAATTGACTGCAATTTGATATCGCTTGGTTTGTTTTGTATGTGATGCTGTGTGTCTTGTGTAGACTTCATCTTTTCTTCGCTGATTTCTTTCCAAGAGATTGTCTTGTATAAATTGCTACTGTTGTTGTATGTGTTGGCTTTTGATGCGATGTTGATCGGGTATGTAGTGCCGTTGTAAGCAAACTTGCTCAAGGTGATAAGACAGCCACCGACTTGTTGACGTTTTCTTGGTGCCGTATTGTACGAAAGGCAGTGATGATTTTTTTCTTGACATTTGTTTCTGACTTTTTGTTGCCTTGAATTTCGCTACTTTTGCTTTCCGTCATCACAGACCGCGTGATGCTTGGTGTTGTTTTTACATTCTCTCTAATCTACCACTAATCTACTTCCTGATTTTCTTTTTCTTTTTTTTTACTCGTATTTTGAGGGGCTATCGTTACCTGGACCGTAACTTACCAACGCTTTGTCAGAAGAGATTTCCTGGGTAGAATATGTCGAATGTTGTTGCATGAATAGCGGCGTTCACTAATGATATGATTGTAGCAAAGTCACAATGAGAAGATAATTTCACAAAAGCATGAATAGTCAATTGTTTCTCTTGGTTTTGCTTCTTACCATGATACAGCAATGTGTGCTGCTTCTGTTTCGATTTCCAAGGTATGATAGTGTGACCATGAAATTGTATTGTCTCCATAACTACTAATGACTGTTCTTGTAGCCACCGCTTGATACAGAGGAAATGACAGAAAGCCTCCCTTGTTTGCTGCGTGCCGTCCATTGGTTTGTCAAGGATACACATGCGCGATTCCTTCCTTAGAGCAGTATCATCGAGTAGTCATGTCGCCCACCGCTTTTACTAAAAGATTAATCGATCTAAATGAGTACGTATAATACATACATCAGTGCTAATCGCCTCATATTCCGCTCCAAATTCATACCATGTAAATTCAAATTACCTCAAAAGTTCTCTCCTATCAACGGTCAAACTGCTGCCATAAACAATATGTGTGTGCGAATGTCAATAATGCGCAGTTCTTGAATATATGTCCCGTGCGACAGGAGCCATCGACCGATTCTCTCGTCGAGTAGCATTTATCGGTTGTGCGATCAGTATCTTCAACGTGAGCTCGCCAGCATGCATTCGAAAGTCGGATACGGATAGTGCCGCCATTATTGCGTCTACGCAATGCCGTCGGGTCCCTCTGGTAATAATGTGCCCCTTGTTGATAGTGACTTTTAGACGCAGTGTTTTGCTTGATGCGTCTTGGACAGGTGTGCTTCTCGTCCCTTCTTTTGTCCCCATTGCTGCTTCACCACTAAAGCAGAAATGAAACCGCCACCATAATATGATACTGCTCCATCCAATAGCCGTGTCCCGTGTGCATCGTTGTCCTTGATATTCTTTGCCCGCCCATGCCGATGACTTTGCTTGTTGTTTTCATGAGCGATTTTCAGATTGTTCGCCATCTTTCCCCCCCTAAGAAGAAATTGAATGTAAGAATCACATTTTGCCCGACTTGATATTGTTAAGATAGAACTTACTATATGCTTTGCATCCATCTAAATGGGCGTTTGGAATGTTGTCAATAAATATGTCTCCTCGTATCTTGTCGCCATTTCTTCCCGTGGTGCAGCTTGGATCGTGTTGCCACTATAATAGAAGTCGCCAGTCTTTCTGCTTTGGTGCCGTCTGATAGAAATGATGAAGACGCATTCGAATGGCCGTCCATTGCCCGATGTTGTCCCCATATTGAAAGCTGACAATGCCAATGTCGTCTTTTTGTCGCCATGCTGCTGTCTCCACAAGTCTCCTCGTCGTAAACCGAGATAGATGAGGATTGTTTTCATCTCCTTGACTTGACGTTGACTGATTTGAATAGTTGTAATGAGTGTTGCCGTCACATTACACCTTGTGATTCTGAACAGATTTAATTGTCGTATGCATTGTTGCAGTTTTTGTCGCTGAAGTATCTTGCTCCATGTGGCCATCATAGGTAGCGATGGACACTGTTTGTCGATACGATGTTTGCCGCTGCTCCTTTTGTTGCCGCTTTCTCTTTGGGGTTTCACCACAAAAGTAGGGATGGTTAATGATGATGATGATGATCGTGCCGTTGATGTGAAACCATCCCACATATTTGCCCGCATGCTTGGTGACTTGATCCGTCTATGGCCGCACAGTTTGAAATTTTTGACCAGCTTGAGATGTTTGATCAGCTTGCATATTCCTCGTAAAGATGTGCGATAAGTGATTCATTGCTGCTGCGCCTGAGTATGACTCGCCCATAAATTATATGTCGCCTTTTCCGCCTGTCACTTTTTCGTCCGCTGAAAACAGTTGATGCCAAAGGCTGTCCACCACGACTTGCACTTGGTCCGCAATTTTCCGCCCAGAAGGGGAAGTGTCATATTGGATCACTTGAGAACAGATATCCGCACCCGCTTGAAGAGCCCTTGTCGCCATAGTATTACCAGTAGACAATAAACTTGCTCCTTCCACACTGGGAATATTCAATCCGAGTTAGAACGTCGAATGTAGTTGTTGCCTGGACCAACGGAAAGAAAACCAGAGGATGCCAACGATTGGATAATGCTGATCGATCTTGATAGTCTATCGCCAAAAGACTGGTCAAGCCAAAGACGGGATTCTGCCAATCCTCGAATCGACATCAAGTAAAAGAGGTTGTTTTTACTCGGCTAGCCTGGAAATCTGACGCCACCTGTAGCAGCATAACCATCATGGATCATCCACCAAGACCACACGAGACGACGTGATCAAGCCAAAGACGGGATTCTCACAACACCCCGAATTTTTACTCGGCTAGCCTGGAAAGCTGACGCTCTCCATCGCGGCGTACCACCCACACCGCTGGCCGGACACCCCAACCCGGACACCCCAGCTTCACGGAATCCGGAGGCAAAGGTGAAGGCTGAGGCTGGACTTACATGGCTGTGACACTGACTACAACCGGTGGAGGATCCAGGGTATGGAAAGGGCGAGGACAACTCCGGTTGAGCTTTCGGTGGCAGGGATTGGGTGAGCAACATTGCTCCGGTTGCCAGGGCTTACGCAGGAACACCATCCACATGAGCTGGAACTGACTGGGATGACAACTTTGGGAAAGGAATAAATTCCTAATATTGGGCCCCTCTTCGCCTTCTCCACACCACATCCGTGTCGAATGCGATACGAAGAAGGGAAGAAGGAAAGGAAAAAGGATATATCAGTTAGCAAGCCTCTTCTTATCAAATGGCCGTAGGTATCAAAGAAAGCATAGTACGTACCGTAATCATACAAGCTTGGCGCCTTGTGTTGTCATTTGCTGTCAAGAACCGCCGCTGTACATGTGGATTCCTGCTGCCTACACAACCAGAGCGTTGCTCACCTCCCCACCACCGGCTCAACCGGAGTTGTCCCCATATGCCCCCTCCAACCCCTTCACCCCCGGTGGCTGCAGCCAGTGCCGGCGCCAATGCCAGCCCCAACCGCCTTTACCTCAAGAAACCATCCACTGAGATGTCCGGGCCGCACCCCATCGCCTGACGAAGGCGGAGACCGCCAGACACACACCCAAAACACGCCGCATGCGCTCTATTTGAAATGAAAACAATAAACTCATCAGCATCAGTACGTTATGCATCTCGCTCAAGCTTAATTGCTGAGACACTTACAACCAAGCGCACACGCGCAACCACAAACATCGCCTGACGCAGGCGCACACGACAACGCCAAGCACGGCACCACAGGAAAAGGAAAAAAACACGCGGAAAAGAGGAGACAGCGACACAAACAGGCGGATTTAAAGTGGGCGACACCAGGAAAGGGAAAGGGGAGAGACCAAAGGAACGGAGAGAGACACGCACACAGACAGAACAAATGCCTAAAGAAGGCCATCTAAAGAGGACATTGCAATTAGTATCGATCTGGGGCAATACGAAAGCACTCGACAACGAAATAAATAGAAGATGTAGCCACTTACATGCCGACAAGACCTGCTCCATCTCGGAGACTCGGTCGATGTCTCCACGAGCAGCCTGCAGCAGACCAGCGAAGAGCGCCTCATCGTCGCCAGTCTCGAGGAGACGCTGCAACTCCTCATACTCGTCCAACGTGACACCCAAGTGTGCTGCCATCACTGCAGCAAACTGTGCACCTTCTTCATCACCTTCTTCTTCTTCGTCGTCGTCTTCGTCGTCTTCTTCGTCTTCTTCTTCTTCGTCTTCGTCGTCGTCGTCTTCCTCAGTGCGCACGTCGTACTCTTCTTCTCCTTCTTCGACATCTTCTTTCATGCTCTCCGGGCCGCAAACGACAGGAACGTGAGCCATTGGCTCCGGCGCGACGACGGACATGGGGGTGTTTGCGGAGGCGAAAGTGGTGGATGCAGCGATAGGGCAGGAAGAGACGGAAGGGAAGAATAGCTGCAAGGTGTTGCGCTGGCGGATGTGGCGGTGGTGGCGGCGACGGGTGGAGCTGAGGAGGTGCGCAGAAGGATAGGGACGGGAACGGACTTGTTGATGAGGACGGTGGTGGCGGTGGGTTGAAGGAGCGACTGTGGGGACGAACGGAACGGAAGGAGCGAACAGCGGCAAGTAGTGGTGGTGACGGTGACGGTGGCGGATTTCACGGTGGCGGGTGTGATGACGAGGTGCGCGGAAGGATGCAAGGACTGTGTGGTTGCGGCGGTGATGGTGGTGGTGTCGATGATGGGGGTGTTGTTGGCGGCGGCGTTGATGGCGGTGGTGTTGACGAGAAGAAGAAACAGGAACAGGAACAGGAGCAGGAACAGGAACAGGAGCAGAAGGAACGGACGGGGCAACGAGCGGCAAGTAATGGTGACGGTGGTGGCGGATTTGATGATCCCGGTGGTAATGGTGGTGGTGGTGGTGAGGAGCGCGGAACGAAGAAGAAACCGGGTGTTGGCGACGGAGGTGTTGATGATGGCGGTGACGGGGCTGGCGGCGAACGGAGCGCACAGAAACAACAGGCACAGAGGCCTCTTCGTCAAGCGAGACAACCACACCATGATCCTCAGCAGCAAAATCACCTGCTACTGGCAGCTGCGATGGGAGCTGGTCCAAGGACGCGGAAGAAGGCAACGTCACTGGGGACGGATTACGCACAACTTGGTCAATGGGAGCCTCATCGACAACTGCAAATGAGGGGACGTCGATGCCGTTAGGCACAGCAGGGAGGATATCGACCGCAGGTGGCAACGAAGGCGAGACTGGAAGGCTGGCGTCAGCACCCGAAGGCTGGGCATCATTCTTACGAAGAGCCATTGACTGCACACTCAACTCATCCAGCTGCACAACGTGCACGGGAGCAGGAACAACCACTGCAGGAGCCGCCACTACAGCAAGCTCTCGAGCGCCGGCCTCATTCAGGCCCATGGCGGGACGCGTCTCACGGCAACGGTATTCGCCCAAAGGCAGAAACAAATGGAATGTCGCGGGCAGCAACAACGACAGGAAACCGGACGACGCAGACAACGACGGCAGCAGCAGGAAAGAAAAAAAGGGAAATGTCGCGGCAATTAGCCAACGACAGGCGATATACGCTAAAGCGATTGGATACATCAGCAGTGCACACAGGGCATAAGACAAGGGCTTATCGGTTTCTGACATTTTGGAATGTAGATGCTGGTAAAGAAGAAAAAAGGAGAGCTGGAAACTACTTTTTTTTATTGTCATGAAAATTTTAAAGGCCGTGACGTCACGCGTTTTTTTCCTTTTTATCGCACACAGTGCGTTCTCTGTAAGCATGTGAGAGCAGTAAAGCACACTAGTAGTAACGCGTTGGAAGATGCTATGATAGCCTCTTTTTTTGCTACGACGTCGCTATGGTTGCGTGCTGTTTCCATGGCTGCATATATGTTTCACATTTACGCTGCTCCGCTTGTACGTTCCAGGCACACCCGTGTCAATTTCTTTTTTTTTCGCCATGATCAGTGCGTCTACAGCAAAGTGACTCAGTAACGGGTGATTATCAAAGAACAAGTTTTAATGATACTAGCTTTTGATTACAGTGACTAGACTCCTTAACGACTCAATGTTTATTGGATTATAAAAAAAACATCTAATCACCGAAGTATCATGCATATCATATTTCAGAAAATTCAAGGATAATAGCAACACAAGTGAAGCTCTTATCAATTGCCTATGAACTGCATAAGTAGATATACTCCTCCTGATTTATTTTCAGAAAAAAAGTTTTTCGAATTGCTTCGCAAGTGTAAATGAAATATAGTAAGTAGGAGGAAAGGAAGATTACCAATCTGCTGGCTATTTCAAGTAACTACAAGAAGGTTTTCAAAAGATCATGCTCTGGATTTTTGCCTCCTTCTATGATACTTTATTACGATGCATCCGAAACGTGGCATATACAGTACTAAAAAGCCAAGTCTTTAGTGAAACTCAACATAAGCTTCTAAATTGTGACTGTGGGTGTGTTAATTTGAAGCGCTGAATACTGCTCGGTGATGGTTGGGTCATTTACTCGTCAATGCAACAACGTCGCAACTGTTTCAATACTTGATGAATGTGTGTGAATAGAGGTCGATAGACTGAATAACTGTTGCTACTGCTCATAAACGTCCGAAGTTTTATACTGTATCTACGCTGCTATATGTCGTATGCACGGTGGTGCTTTCTTCACGACATATCTGTTGTTTTCCTCACAAACAGCAGTTGTTGCTAGTCATTCATATCACAGACATATGTTTGCTTTCCTATCATACTACATACTGTACTGGAAGATAAATACATATGTGTAGAATACTGTAGCTAACTGCAATCCTAATTAACTGGTGGGTTTGTTCTTTGCTCACCGCATCTTAGCAAAGATATTAAAAAGGTGCTGTAAACTCTAATGTATAAATACCATTATTTTACTTTTATACTCACTTTTATTATCTAATTAAAATAGCAAGTATATGCAATTATCAGATGATGTCAAGCAAATAATAGTGGCATAATGCCAGGAGCAGAATTTCTTTTGTGATGGAATAATCACTGCCACAATGCATAAGCATGGGCATACGGTATCCAGTGTTCCTCTTGTTAACCATTGATTATAGTGCTAAAACGTACTGTACGTGCAACAAATGTATTGCCTATGTACATTAGACTACAATCTATGGCTCGTCTTGTTTATACAATTGGACCCTAGTTTTTGCAACCGAGTCTTTTCCGAATTGCATAAAGTGTAGTTTTGCATAAACCGCGGGAGGATAGCATGAACCTAAGAAAAACAATAAATATCGAACACGCTTCATGCTGCTAGTGTTTCGTCTGATCATCTACATACTTGTGCCTCTATCTTAACGTACAATAGTGCTATCTCTGCTCGGCACACCGCTGAATAATCAGTTATCCGACGCAAATTAACAAGTCATGTTATTCAGCAGAGTTATTTTCATGTCATTCCATTATAAATAAGATGCAAAGCATGCATTTAATAGCATATCTTGCAAAAGTTGAACCTTTTATTCTATCCTGGTAACGTGCAAATGCGCGGAACAATTAAAATTGGTAAATAAAATGAGGGTTTGCGAAAGAACACGAGGTTGCAAAAACCGATGTCTGACTGCACATCATAAAGTTTTATCATCGTCAGCTTTATTATATACAATTTAAATTCAAGAACGAGGATGGACTCATCTTTCTTTCTTTTTTGCTTTTTAAATCTCTTCACACACTGACAAAGAAAGATATATACTCTAGTATGCTATTTCCCAAAAGCAGCACCAACAACCCACAATCGCCTCCTTCACCATTGAAAAAAGGATACAAAATAACAGTGGATGATGTCGACGACCCTACAAAAGGCGCAGAAGAAGAAGAACCTCTATTACCGCCAGCAGCAGCAACAACAACAACAGAAACGGCAACAGCAATAATAATATCCTCTGATACTACATACGGTCTCGTACTCTTGGCACTTTCAGCTGTAGCGTCAACGTTCGTGGCAGCTTTTCTCAAGCTTATCATTAGTACACCATCCTATTTGGTTACATCGTCGACCGAAATTCTGTTAATTGTTTCTATAATTCAACTTATGTTTGATTTCATGGCATGCGGTTGGACAGGTGTGCAACCTTTCGGACCACGCTCAGTCAGGACTTGGCTTACACTAACTGGTGCGGCTGGAGGAGCGGCTATTCTGTTGCAAGCCTATTCTTTAACGCATATGCAGCTTGCAGATTTTGCGGGTAACATATACAGAAACATAAAAATATCTGCTTCGTCACCATTCCGATATCTCTCGTTCAATCGACCCACTTAACCTAGAGCTCTTTCTTGTCCCGGGCATCATGCTGTCTATCTAGTACTGCTACATCTTTATCCGGCATTCACGGCAATCCTTGCGTCACTGGTTCTTCATGAACCTTTTCGATACCATCATGCGGTTTGCGTCATCGTATGTATTGCCGGTGCCGTACTCGTGCTTAAGCCGTCGATGAGTAATAGTGATTCCAATACTGTCAAGACGACAACGTTGGCCACATGCAGTGTACTGATATCTGCCCTATTGGTTGCTGCAGTTAAAGTTGCTGCTCGCAGAGCTGGTCTCAGAGCGCATTACTTGGTGTGCAATGTATACTTTGATCTCAGCACGCTTGTCATCAGTCTTCTTTCTGTCTTCAGTACCTTTACCTTACCTCATGGTTGGCAAGTTTATGCTCTTTTGATTTTAATTTCCATCTGTGGGTTCTTCACTTCAACTTTTATGAGCCGAGGGTAAGTGTTATTATATTTGGGAACGTCTAGATGATGGTGACTTTTACACACTATCTCACGCCTTAATTTCGCGTATAAAAATATGTCACTATACTAGATTCCAGTTGGCTCCTGCAGGCCCGGGCGCTATGATGCGCATGATATCAATTGTTCTGGCATTCATTGTTGGTGCAGCTTTCTTCCACGAGTATCAAGACCAATGGAGTATCATCGGTGCCATTTTAATTTGCTCAGCTACTGGGATATTACTTCTAACATCATCATCATCATCTAATAGTAGCACGCATCGTAATAGCAGTAGAGGAATATTTGAGCAAAGTAATAATGAAGAAGAAGTCTAACAAAGATGATACTGTACCAGCTAAATTTGTTATAATCGTATATGTGGAAATCCATGTCGTACAATTTGTTCCTTCTTCCACATTTTTGTTGGGAAGAAAAAAAAGGCTTGTGCATTGATACGAAATGTAGATCCTATCATGTCATCAGAAACGCCAAGCTATCTTTGACATAATTGTTAAGTCGTTGACTAGGGGAAAGTTAAGGATAGAGAACTAGCATTGTTGTGGTTTTGTGCTGCTAAGTAGCCACTGACAGTGCTGAGGCTCTACTATATTCTGTATCTTCGCTTGAGGAACCCGAGGAACGCGTTCTCTAGTACTAGGTCATGGTAAATGGATAATCATACAGTCAGACAATAGCAGGGTTTAGATTACCAACTACAGCAACGAAGATAAAGTTCCCAACAGCAGAAGCAACGCAAGCCAGCGGGGGCTCTCAACAAAAAAAAAAAATTCGCCAAAGAATGGGTTGCTGGGGGAAGCATTGAGGACTTTACGTCCTTTTAGATAGAGTTCTGCGGCATTTCCTTATCAAGCAAGATAATACATAGTGGAGTTTTTTGTAAAGTGCGTAAAAAAAAATCACGAACGGACCTACATCGTTTCCAAGTTTCGGTCCTTTTTTTTGTCTTCAAAAAGCTTCAGCAAGAACAAAAATATAAAAACGAAAACACTGAAAGGAGCGTTCATGACATCTCGCGGTACTTCGGCTGACAGGGAGTTGGAAGCACCACCATCCGCCGATTCTCCCGCATTAGAGATTCAGACGCTCGTACGCTCGTTTCTTAAGGAACACACAGCTTACGATGTGCTTCCGGTGAGTTATCGACTCATTGTCTTTGATACCCGTTTGCTTGTCAAGAAAGCATTGGCTGGTCTGGTGCAAAACGGTAAGAAACAACTATCTGGGGATGCGGTGTGTGTGTCTGTGTGTCTACGTTGTAGTAGTACTACCAGTAGAACTAGCATGGTGCTCTTTTGAACAAGTGGATTGGTAATAACGAGAGGAAACATTCAGGCATTGTGTCGGCTCCTTTGTGGTCAAGCGAAACGCATCGATTTGCGGGTATGCTCACAGTGTCCGATTTTGTCAACCTGATTCAATACTACTATACACATGCATCGGTCGAAGATGCTTTACAAGACATTGAAAAGTTTGAGATTGGTCATTTACGAGATGTCGAGCGACGAGTCGGTGCCCCGGCACCACAACTGATATCCATGCACCCCATGGCGAGTTTATATGACGCGTGTCGTCTTTTGGCAGAAAGCAGAGCACATCGTGTACCTCTGCTCGATCATGATTCACTTGGCACGGAAATGATTATCAGTGTTGTTACCCAGTATCGTATCCTCAAGTTTATTGCTGTCAATGTAAGTTCGGTTTCTGTTTGCTGTTGCTGCTTTTGCTGCTTGAGAATTGATTGTCTTTTATACAAAAAATATATATAGTACAAAGACACGCGCTCTTTACGGCGATCTCTAGCCGAACTCAAGATTGGCACCTATGAAAATATTGCGACGGCATCCGTATCAACACCTGTGATCCAATTGATCAATATATTTGTGGATAAGAAGATCAGTGCAGTGCCTATTATCGATGAAAATGGTAGGTCTTGCTGTTCCTGTTACCATACCGTATCATGCAAGCTTGATCCGGGTTTGGCTAAATTGTCGTTTTCACGTGATTGTATAATATTAGGAGTGGTGCTGAATGTTTACGAGACAGTAGATGTCATGGTATGTATATAGAGTTTACTGTTGTTGGGAATGAATGCTAACTCAAGCATCGTTTCTTGTTTTGTTACTTTGTAGAGCATAGCACGAACAGGCCGGTACAATGAATTGGACATCCCGGTTGGAGAAGCTCTGGAAGCGCGTCCAAACGTAACATAAGAGAGATGAGGAGAAGGGATGTGTGAATGAGGAAAAATATATAGTGAAGGACTGACTGATCTCGTCTCATTTTATCATGCATACTAGGACTATCCTGGCGTCCATACATGTACTTTGAATGACACGCTATACTCTATATTTCAAACAATTCGAAAACAGCGAGTGTATCGGCTAATAGTCGTTGATCAAGACAATAAGCTTGAAGGCATTGTCAGTCTATCCGATATTCTTGGGTATCTCGTAGGATATCAGCGTTAAAAAAAGACTTAGACAATCGTGTATACACAAACCCAGCCATTTATTTTCCTTCCCATACCACATTTCTCGCTGTACATATGCTATAACACTTTCACATCTCCCAAGAAAACAACGAAATCACACTGTCTCCCTTTTTCTCGGTCCCTCTCTTTCTGACCCCAAAATCAACTACTATTACAACTACTACTACTACCATCCCTCCCCCTTTGCAATCATATACGCGAATCATCTGACTTTTTTTTTTATAAATATAAACAGCAATTCAACAAGGAAGAAAACAGTAGTGTGATTATGCAAATTGTTTGTTCGTGCTTCGTGCTCGGGCGAGTTGCAACGAATAAGCGACGTTAGATTGGTTGGTAACAGGCGATATAAAGAAAAGAAACAACAGAAATACTATGGCAACAAAAAAGGAAGAGAGAGAGAGAGAGAAGAGGAAGAAGAAAACGGAGAGTAATGGCAGGTATGTATAAGGTGGGAGAATATGAGACGTGGTGTGAGAAACAAGGGTACGGAAAAAAAATATACATGAAAAAAAGGCAAAAAGTAACCAAATAAAGAGATTAAAGTATCGAATAGTCATGCGGCGCAAAATAGCTTTCCAAAGTCTTCTTCAGCTCAAAAAAGTAAGCGGCTGCCCCTTTTGCAGACTGCGAAGAGAGAGCATCCACCGTAGAAGACGATGTCGACGGCGAGATGATATCACACTCATCGTCCGAGGTACCTACTGTGCTGCCGCATGAAGAAGTAGAGAATGGCGTTGGGCCTCGATCGTCACGGGACGTTGGTGGAAGCGAGAACGAAGATGCACGATGATGATGCGTTCCATACTGGTCCATATCGCCGCCGCCGCTGCTGCTGCTGTCTGCATTCATGGATAACACATTATCCTTGAGAATCCTGAGCGTGATACGCATGTTTTCTTCTGCACGTATCCGAATTTGGTTGTTGGGCGACGCACGTAGCTCCTTCATGGCATCACAGGCGATCAAGACCCAGTGGAGTTCCATGACACACGGAAGACGGTAGTTGAGTTCTTGGAAAATCTTGGCCAAAGCGTCACAGCATATAGACACAATGACCAGAGCACGCTCGCCATCCACACGGTCGAACGTTGCGCCCACGAGGTCTGTCCGTGCGGGCGACTGCATGAGGCGGGTCTCCAATGCGAGCCAATAGCTGTAGTAGAGCATGTTGAGATAGAGCACATTGGGGTTCTGACACTGCTGCACACGTTCGATGGCGATGTATTCCATAGCGGCATGCGAGAGGTGGTAGTGGTCCGGCAGGCTACGCCAAAAGCCAAACATTTGGTTTTCCAGGTACTCAATGTCGCTGCTCGGGACTTGGTCCATGCTGCCAAGCATCAGTCGATACCCGGTTTCGTCGACGCGTGTAGAGATGTGACAGTCGTTGATGCGCACAATGTGACGGTATAGTTGGACGGCTTCGTTGAGGGAAGGGTCGCTTCGCTCGCAGGGTAGTGCAGTCGGGTAGCCAATATCATCGTGCAGGAGGGTCGGTGATACGCTATCCCGGCCGTCATAGACGATGTGCATATTAATCTCGAGGTAACGCACCATATAAAACATTCTCCGCCAGGATTCCGCTTCGGCGCGTGGGCCGCTCACGCTCTCATTCGTTGTCTCCGACGCTATTTGTTGCTCCTGCTGCTGCTGCTGTTCCTGATCATGCAATACTGCAAGGTACTTATCTCGCAGCTGCATTGCAATGCGCCACGCCATGCTTATGTATATGCGGCCTTCGCTATTTCGCAGCAGTATCAGGTACGTCTGTCCGAGCAACAGCAACGCTCCGACCAGCTCCATGTTCGGCTCTTGTTCGAACATGGCATCTTCCACCAGTGTCCGTGCCTCTTGCCGAAATATTTCAGCCATCTCCCTGCGCGTTGACTGGTAGTCTTGGTGGATGTGTTGGCATTGGTTAAATCCAGCAAAGGCTGCAATTGCCGAGGTCAGCATGGCATTGGGCCGGGAACGAAGGTATGGGTGGTAATAGGGACGAACAAAGATGGGGAGCGTATAGCCATTGCAGTCGAAATAAGTGTCCAGAAAGTGAAGCTTGGTGGACAAAATGGTATCATTGGGGTCGTTGTAGCTGTGTTGGTATATACGAGGAAACTCGAGCATCATGCCCTGGTTCATCTTTTTGGCGAAAATCACTCGAAACAGCTGCTCCATGTTGAGCATCTTGTTTGTCACGACGAGAAACTGCTGCTGTCGATTGACGAAATAGTTGGGCGATCGATACGGTGTGAAATATCCAATTGTGCTTTTAAGAAACGTAGCTACGTCTGCAACGCTTTTGATAGATGTTTGTAGCTGTAATCCACTTGTGCTATGTGCTAATGTCAACTGCCATGAATCGCGTCGTTGCCGTTTCTTGTCGGACCGGCCGTGTTCGTCTCTGTGGTGTTGCTCGTATTGTTCGTCGTCAGGTTGCTGTTTTTGCTGCTGCTGTCGTAATTGTGCTTCAACATTGAGTGATCGTAACTGCATTTCCATTGCCGCTACTTCCTCTTCCAAAAGTTGGACTTGATCCAGCATTCGATTTCGTTTCGACATTGGTACAAATTTTTTGACAATATTTGGTTTCACTGTAAATTTAAAGACGCATGGGAGTTCCATGCGACTACACCGTTCGCATTGCATCCCTTGTGAAACAAAACATTTCCTGCGATGTGCACGACAGTTTTCACCTGGAAATAATTATATTTCTTTTTGAGTTGAAGCTCTCGGCTTTTTGTGGAACAAACTCTTCTTTTCTCTTGGATAAAAAAAATGTTCAAATCTTACAAGGTCTATTTCGTTTTTGTTTTGAACTGCCATCATTATATGACATGGCAACAAAATGAGAGGAAAAGGTGAAAAAAGAAGTACAAAAAATAAAGTGGTAACCAAAAGTAGACGAATAAATTGGGGATTAGGGGGTGAAAAAGCAAATGTGAGAGTGCGAATCCATACAGTAACACAGGTCCAATAGGATTGGTTCACTTTAGTTCGGGTAAACACTTGCCGAAATCAAAATCACTAGTACATTTTGCGAAATCATGGATGGATTGGGAGATAGGAAGAAAAAGAAAGTTACAAAGTAGATACTATATAATATGACGGAGAGGAGATGCTGTTTTCATGGTGGCGGTTGGAGGGGGGGCGGTAGGAGAGAAGGTGATATGACAAAGAATAATATAAAAAGAGACGATGGAAGAGACAGATGTGGATGAAAGAAGGTAGGTGAGGAGTTGGAAGGGAGAAAATTAATAAGCTAGTAATATCTGCCCTGTGCCTGATACGTATTCTGCCTATTATACGCATCGTAGCTATCATGCTGAGAATAGGCATTGCTTTCTTTATAAGCACCGTAATAGTTATTAGCATCAGCGCTATAGTTGTTGTGTGAGCCAGCTGTCGTTGGTGTATCAGGCGAGATGTCGTCTAACCGGATGCCCGACTTTCTGCGACGACGACGTTCGTCCTCGTCTTCTTCGGCACCGTAGATTGACCGTGTGCACATGACCGTGATGGCATTCGTCAATGCCAGTATTTCTACAGCCAGGGCAGCAAACAGAACAACATAGAATCGCATAAATGCCATGTCCACGTACTCAGTAAGGGTATCATAGCACGGTGGATCGGGTGAAATGGTGCCTGATTGGGGATTGCATGTGTCGGTGACTGCAGGTTGATCCATCGCATTGTTGAAACCGCAACAAGAAAACTACCAGATCCAATATTCTAGTTAGAAAATATAACATGTGCAAATGGTCTTTGGATGGATTAATTACATCGTTTTGTAGACTGGCTCTGTAGCTCTCTTTGGCTTGCGACCAAAGAGGTGCAACGTAGCCTGGTGAATCGGCACCCTTTTGATAGATCTTGATGCCAATGACAACTTGGTAGACCAATGCAACGACAACAATAAGCATGTAGATGAGAAGAATCCATTTGCGTTTCACAAAGGTACCGACCATGCCGAGAATGGAGGCGAAGATGACGATGGCTCCGAGAATGGCGACCTCTATTAAAGTTGTCAAACATGACATGTATCAGCGACAGAACGAATAGGTTGTAGTGGCGATATCGATTGACTTTACGTTTAAAGATTGATTCTGGAAACAATGAGGCGCCTTTGAAACCATCCTTATTGCCGATCACGCCAAAAGCAATATAAGCGATACCGAGACACGCAAAGAGCAAATTCGTGGTGATCATGTACCACTTGCTCAGTCTATTATCCATGATTATTTAGCATTTCTTTCCCTGAGAGGTTTGAAAAGAGAACTTGCGAGTCTCAATAGTCTGTATATATGGTGTGGGTGTGTGTATAAATATATCCAGCTATTTTTTTTTTGTATATCATATATATTCGCACCTTGCGCAACATGTTGGTGCCATGCTGGGTGGGATGGATGTCGATTCGTAGAGGGATTCAAGATCGAAAAGGAATGTGCAGGGTTCTGGTGAATGAGTGGGGTTGTATAGAAAGAGCGTGAGGCCAGAAAAAAAATAAGGTACGAGTTTACAAAAGAGAGGAAGAGGGGAAAATAATAATATAACCCAACCTTTTTTTGCCCGCTCCAAATATTACAGCTGCTGTTATTATTATTATTGAGAGTGCGTTTTGATAGTCTGTCTCTCTGCTACACCTTTTCTTTTTTTTAAGGATCTGTGCAACCATCAATCTATTTTAACATTCGCTAGGTCGACAAATCAAAAGGCAGTACCCAAATGAACGGAGTTCTGGTCTTCATGCCACTACTTTTCGAGGCCAATGTCAATTTCGTTAGTTTATAACACTTCAGTTATCAGCACACGCAAATCGCAAGAGTATAAAAACTAAGGCACTTATATCAAGGAGTAGCGTGTCTATGCATCTACGTACATCGTCTCTTTTCTTTATTATCAACTACCAGCAAGCCCTTTCAACATTTATATAGTAAGAGCAACACCTTTAGCCTCTTTGGTCTTTTCCCTCCAGCAGTATACAACCTTTGCTGTTGTTGTTGTTGTTGCTGTAATCGGATCGGTGCTTGACGTTCCGTTAATTTGCTATAGTATGGTTCATTTGCAGCGTGTACTAGCATGAAAATGTAACTCGAAAAGTGCCATGCACTTCATTGTGCGTACATCAACAACAGTTGTCCTTCGCGGCGACAGCACTTGGATAGGTGGAAGTCTCATTCTTGCATTCTTTGCAGACTTCTTTTCCTCTCCCTTCCTGTTCAACTCAGATATTTACATTGGTAGAAGAAACGACACGAGGAAGGTTACCAACCATTGTCGTCGCTCACTACGATGTATCAAGAGCTTTTGTTACCGGAGATCATACTCGACTTACTACTACACCTTTGGCAAGGGCGGGTGTCTCGCTCATCTCAGTATCAAAAAGGTGTCCATGGTTTTTTAGTGCATGGGCAATATGTTTTGAATCAACATAAAATGGCTGTAACTTGGTCGTTGTGTTGTTTATGCCAGCAGTTGGGGGGATGTGTTCAGCTTGATAATAACTTGTCGTCCTAATACGCTGCTTCAGTTCCGTAAATAGAAATCGTGAAATTAAAAAAGATGGGTACAGAGAATGTATCACCACTCCTTGATAAAAAAAACAGTAATCAATCATCCAGCGGTCTAGAATGTATGATTGCACGCGTATTGATACTACTTATCCTCCCTCCGTCCATTGGATTGCCAACTATGTGATGACATTTATGTAACGCAAAATCGCTTAACACAAGTATATACAGACACTAACAGCATCATGCACGTAGTAATTAATAAATGGCAAAGACCACGATTACATATGGGATGCCAGACGGATGGATATTTCCACACCAAGTGGCGATATGATACTCTTTAGAAAGAATACGCAGGCTGGTGTAAAATGCAGTATTTGTGATACAAACGAGCTTCTTTTCTCAAGAATAGTTAGTAGTACTACTCAGTAAAGCAGTTGTAGTGATTGCCGAGAAAGATCACGTCAAAAATAGTACCTGCTCTGTTGAATGGTTTTGCCATTCAACATAGACCTACTGTATCACTGATAGCTTCATCATCAGGACCATGTATGGCACAAAAAAAACATAACCAACGGACTTTGCTGCTATAACTCACGTCACTCATCCTACTTGATAGAGCTCGTAGCTTTTTAAACAAACTAGAACGTTACACTATGTCATTCAAGTCTTGAAAATCCTACATTTGCTGACTTGCTATACTCTACGTCTCGGGGATGACCTTCCGTTCTATAAAGCCATTACACTATCTTTCATGATATACTCTAATGTAACTTATATACATGATTTCTGCATCTTATATAAATGCGACTCCATGACGGTATCATATTATGAATCGCAAAATAAGGATCCTCGTTTTGTCACGACTGGTATTATGCCAAAAGAAAACAAACATAATATGTAGGAGAAGAGCAAGAAGAAGAAATACCACAAGGGAATTATTGTAATAAGAGTTTTCTCCTTCATATGAGTCATCACAAAGGTATTTCTTTAACTATTTGGCTGTCACTGCTCCTGCACATACTAGATTGAGTAAACATCAAGTCTATATTCTGTCTTTAAGTCATGAAGAGCAATCAAAAGCATTCTCTTTTGTCTGGCAAGACTGATTAATGATTAAACGACAGTGCTTTTTTTTTCTCACGAATACAAAGCCGGCGCCAGTATAAATCTTAGACTAGGTATATAACTCTCCGCGACCGCATGCTCTTTCTGCCGAAATAGGGGAGGGACGTTTTTGTTATGTCAGCATCACTTAATCTGCTACTACCTTTTTAATCATACTTGTTCGTACCGCAAGGAAGTGTTTATAGGCCCGTTGAGCGCATGTCACCCAGTCTTCCATTACAATCAAGCAAACTACACGACAGACATCAAAAAACTGTTGATCCACCAACAAGACGGTGTCTGCCTCTTGATAGATTGATAGAATATAGGCAGTGGTTAAACATGTATAGCGTCCTTAGACCTTGTCACAAGTTTGATTATACGCAATAGGAGAAGATTACATCACTTTGGGAACCTTCTTGTAAATGTATATTTCCCCAACCCTTTTTAAGGTCAGAAAAAAACTTCCTGGTATACGAAGAACTACGGGGAGCGATAATCATATAGTCAATCTTGATATCTATGCGTGTGCGTATAGGTAGTGTAGATTTGTGGGGATGGGAAGGGGGATCGGAGAAACACCAATACATCTAAACAGCAGGTTTCAAAGTGCCTGCTCTCCTGTTGCAGCATAATTAGTGAGGCGGTCCTTTGATTGGCCCAGTTCCAGACGCGTTCTTCCAAGGAGTGTGCCTGTGCCTTTAAGCGTTTGGCTTGTCGGTTTACCACCATGATATCGCCATAGTACCGAGTCATAGTCAAACGAGAGTGATTATGAAGAATAGAGTTTTTGTTGCATTTATGCATACCAGAACAAAGAAAATAGGGAGCGAGTGCATGAATGAAAGAGCGCAACGTGTTTAGATGGTGGCAAATGCGCCACTGGCAAATGCTGTATGCATATGTGTGTGTGTGTGTAAGAAAGAAAGAGAGAGAGAGAGAGGCATGTCATATAATCCTGCCCTATTCTTAATTCTTAATGAGCTGCTTATCACCATTCCTTACTAGGTATCACCCTGATAGATTTGGGCGGGGCTTTTTTTTCGTCTCAAGTAGAAGCACAAAAAAAAGGTTTTCCTCTAGTCCTTGTCCATTTACAATTTATATTCCATCTCGTATACCTTTTATTTTCTCCCTCGTTTTTAAACTTTGCAATCACTGCCTTCATGACTGGCCGAACCACTCCGGAATTTTCTTCCAGTTCACCAACGTCTCAAATGGACTATTATGAAGGTTGGTTTTTTTAAAGCAAATGTATACACCCCTCCCCCGGCTGCATCGCCCTATTCGCTGTAACCGATCCTTCTTTGCCTTTCTCACACCCACACTCTGACGATAAACATCACCACCGTTGATATAGAGGGATCCACGCCTACGATGAAGAACAAGATGCGTGCAAGTCATCTGTATAATACGCCACGAGGCCGACGATTCACGGAACGCGTAGCCGAAGCTGTCGAAGTACCCTTGTTGGGCCGGCCCTTGGAAGACAACATGGCTCTTGATTCCCCTTCACCTGTTCGCATTGAAGATGTAGACATGCTTGACTCTTCACCACTACAATTACGCAATAATAAAACAATACGGAAACGACGGTCTTTGGCCAAATTCGGTGATATGCAGCGACAGCGACGCAAGTTACGGCATACAGCGCAAAGACAGCAAGCGGCAGCAACAGGAGGAGGAGGAGCAAGAGATGCATCAGATGATGATTATGTGGATGATGACTATGAAGAAGTAGAGTCAGATGATGAATATTTACATCGAGTCAGTACTAGCAAAAAACTTGAATCGCGCCAGAGTAGTGTTGGCTCAGAAGAAGGACAAAGTACAACGAACAACAACAACGGAGCATCATCTTCATCACCACCACCACCAACAACAACAACGCCAACGCGATCACTAACAGGAGGAGGAGCAGGGCGAAGACGACGATTACGGTTACAAAACAGTAACATCATACCTTTGGATGCGCCCGACATTGACGAAGACGCAAGTCCTACATTTTTCCCGAATAAAAGCAGATCTATAAACCCAGCGGTCGTCCAACCGATTGTGCTGGGTACCACAAATGGAGTTTCTAAAGAAGCCCGACGGCGACGTCCGAATTCATTTGCTGAGAAAGTAGATCGTTTCCGGCATGCACCTGACGTTGATATGCTGGACCTCAGCAAACACTTGATTATACCAGATAACACCAATCACACTTCTTCTACTCCATCCTCTTCAACTTCAACAGCTGGCTCTGCACATCATTATAATCACCAACAGCAACAACAACAAAATGATGATGATGACGATAATGAAGAAGAGCAAACACAAAGAGAGCAACAAGATCAAGATGACAGAGAAGAATCCCCGATTGCCATCCCTGACCATGATGCTGTGGATATGGAACATACAAGACACGTTGTTATTAAACAAGAACATACAGGAGTTTCTACTACTGCCCATACCGGCGACGATTTCATCGATGATGATGATGATGATTCAGCGAGGTTAGAAAGCAAAAAGCAAGAGGAAGGAAAGGAAAGGCTTTGTGGATTAATCAAAGCAATCGCACAAAAACGATCCGAACATTATATAGCGATGGTTCAGAGCAACCGCTCGATATCCCATGCTCACCACAACCAAAAGACCAGCCTCATGACACAAGCATCGAATCGCCCAGCTCTCCCATCACCCCTCAGCCCATGACAACCATGCCAGAAAATAATAACATCACAGCGTCCACGATTACCAGCAAGGACCTTGCTCAAAACAACGATACCATCATGATAAACACACAACAGCAACAGCGACAGCAATCAGCTGATAATGCCTCAACCACTTGTGCTGGCGAGACGACTCTTGTTCAATTGAACATGACGGCGGAACCCGCGAACGAACAACAAGAGGTGCACATGGAGATAGTTGAAGAAGCAGGCGAGAATCACGATTCTCATTTTTGGGCTGAAAATAGCGGTAACAAAATTGTAAAACAAGAACCGAAGGACGACGATGACAACAACAACACTTATCATCATGAAGAAGAAGGAGGAGAGAGCCTCCATGCGAGACAAAACTCGTATCTCGGGCGCGTAGTTGGAAGTGTATCGCGATTTCTTTGGGGTTCATAACATTATATGATGCGAATTCTACTTGTATAAAATAAAAGGTTGTTCTTTTTCCACTCAGCTGCACACGTTCATCGAGGCGGCGGCGGATTGTAAAGCTCAGGAAAAGAAAGCTTGGGGTTGGGGAAAACTTGTTGGCCCTACACTAAACTCATGATGCGCGTCTGTCATTTTCTGAGCGCGGTCTTTGCAGTAATTGTCTTTTCTGTCATTGCTGTGACAGCAGAACCAACAGAGGTTTGTTTGGCCAACCATTTATATAGTTTTTCTCTGATTGTGAAGTTTAAAAGCGACGAGAGAGAGAGAAACTAACAATCATTATTAAAAAAAGAAGAGTGGTGAATATAAGCTTCACGTATACCACAAACAAGGTGCCGACTATAAAAAGCGTGGCGAGATTGTTGGATTACCCAGTACACCTTCGTACATTGCCACGACGACGACCAAGGGCGATGGCGAAATTATTGAATTAACAAGTCCACTTTACCAAATCAAGATTCGCGATGAAACCACCGATCGTGTTATTCTTTCTTCCATCAAAGCAGTAGGGTGTCTTTCTTTGCTTTTCACATATGCTGTTTCTCTCTCTCTCTCTCTCTCTCTTCTCTCACCTAACTCACTGTAAATAGTGCCAGTTAGTGAATGGTGACTGGAAGGAAGAGTTTCGTGTGCATTTGGATGACGAGAAAAGAGTATATCACGTGGATTATTATGCACACAGTGATGCATGCGCGTCGTCGGATATAGAGGTTCGTTTGGAACGTATAACAAGGATGCTGCTGCGATGCTATCAAAAGTTTCGCAAAAACTAACATCATGAGGAAATCCTACTCTAAAGCTTCCTTACAAAGTGCAACCGACTTTCACGAGCAATGTGATTGTCGAACGACCTGTTCCTGGAGCAAAGTAAGTGAGACCTGAGTGTTGTTGTTGTTTCCTAGAGACCGGACAGATTAAATTACATTGCTATGGGATAGACCGTTCCTAGGCCAATTTGGAGGCAAGTCGTCACAACAACAGCAACAGCAACAGCAACAGCAACAACAAGGCCAGCAAGGCCAAGAAGGCGATGAACTACCTATCGAAGAAGAAAAGACGTTCTTCCAAAAGTATTGGTAAGCAGTAAAAAGTAATTCCGGGTAGGAAGTAACGGGGTGGGGGAGCGACTTGCCTTTTATATAAAAAAAATTAAACGGCCTGGTGGTGATTTTGCTGTACGCATACGTCAATCCATAATAGGTACCTCGTGCTTGGCGGTGTCCTATTGCTGATCAATTCGATGAATGCTCCATCTGAAAACACTGCTCCGAGACGTTGAAAATTTATAAAGACCCAGAAACCTTTTTTACCCCCAACCATTCTTTTTTCTCTTGACCCTTTATTTTTACTAAGCCAAATGATCAGACCCCCTTCGATCCAAGGTAGCTTTTATATATAAACCCACATAGCGTATCGTGTATTAGCTTTTACCTAAATGATACTCTTGCTGTCTTCTGGGGATCATTTTGGATACATATATATATATACACGATATTAACAAAAACACCATCTTATCAAATGTTATTACGCATAAAACCAATAACAACAGCAGTTTCGAGAGTCCAACAACCAGCTGTTTGTTTCCGCAAATACGTGTCGCCACTTCAGTCTTCTTCATCATCATCAAAAACAACAAAACGTTCTGTCCATGCAGAATCTACGAATAGCTCATCTTCGGATTCGTTGCTGACGACCTCAAACGGCTCCGTAGTCGACTACTGGAACCCGATACACTTTGAGCTGCTATTCAATCGCAAGCAACAACACCAAATACCGTCATCGTCCGTGGTCTATAGTCCGATGCTTCGCCATAGATCTTCACAACAGCAACAACAACAACAACAACGGCAACAACAGGAGGGCACTGACGAGACAGCCTCCGAGCTGATTGTTGCACCCGATATCATCGAACAAGAACCTTTGCTATTAAAGAAGGAGTCGCACTTGTTCGACACGTATGAGCAGGTCACACATCTACAAGCATGGGGAGGATTTTCCCGGGGAGAAGCAAAGGCTGTCATGGAGACAATACAACAGTTGTTACGAATGAGGTACTTGCTTTTCGACCCCACCCCCTCCCCTCTCTTGAGCTTTTGTTTGCTGGGTGTTGGGAAAATTTTCTGTCTCTCACTCTTTCAAACCTCCCTTCCAACTTCTAAACTTTTTCCTTTTCTTTCTTGTTTAGTGTTGCCAAGCAAACCGATCAGTTCTTGACTTCATCCCAACTCGAGAACGTACGTGTCAACGACGATGGGGTGTGATATGACGAAAGGGGAGCTAAACTAAAGTGATTATTGCTATAAATAGGAGTCGTATCTGATCAGCGCCGCTGTTGCTGAGTTCCGTAGGGAGGTGCAGTTGCTACGGCGTAACGATTCGGCGTTGCTGCAGTCGGAGCTGACTGCACTTGCGCGTGAGGTCGAGAGTCTGGAGCAACGTTTGAGCGAGGATTTGGGCACGATGCGTGACGAGACAGAATTGACCATGAACGATTATCGATCGGATATTCGTGAGGAGCAAAAGATCACCGAGCATCAGATCCAGGGCATCAATAACCGGCTGACTGTGTCATTGGGTGATGCTGCGACTGAACTCGAGTCTCTCAAGTGGAATGTCATCTGGCGTGGTCTTTGTAAGTTCACACGTCAAACTATATAGAGCTACAGGAGGGAGGGAGGGAGGGAGGGTAGATATCAGTGCATTGACTCTGTTATGCTTGTTTAGTGGGCGGATTGGTGACGGCATTGGGCATCACGGCTGTTGGATATGCGTTGTCTGCATTGCGTAGCACTCGTGCTGCAGCAGTGCAACGCAAAGAGGCGATCAAGTCTGCTGGTGACAACTTGTCCTATGCGGACATGGAACTGTCATAGGAATTTCTCTTTACCCACACACATTTCCCATAAGCATACTTTTTTCTCTAGCATCCCATCCCATCCCATTCCATCCCACCACACGTCGTTCCATTGATTATACACATCTCTCTATCTTCCTGTCACTCTCCGATCCACCCCGATTATCATCCATCTTCTTGTAAAATATTATTCCCGTTCTTCCCTGCTAGTTTCTATACACATTTTCGCTGTCCGTCCATCTATCTATCTATCTGTCTATCTACTTGTCAATGTACCATACACAACGAAAAAAAAACCATAATATATGATTATATATATATATATATATAGATTCAAAACGGCATGTGAATAAGGATAAGATACTATACAATGTTGCACATTTTAATACTGTGGGGGAGGTGGTGGAGGCATGTTGTAACCGCCCACGCTGTTTTCACGGAGAGGCAATGGCGGAGGACCGCCACTACCACCGCCAGGGCGTTGTGGCATAGGTGGCGGAGGGACAGGTCGACTTCCATATTGCTGCTGTTGCTGCTGTTGCTGTTGAGGAGGAGGTGGAGGAGGATAGCCTTGGCCATGACCAGCACCAGGATACTGGCCTGGAGGAGGAGGAGGAGGAGGATGATGATGATAAGCAGCACCACCCAAGGGAGGAATCAACTCCTTCTTGTTGCGCGAGTGCAATCGAGCACCGGTGTGACTGAAGACCAGCTTGGGTACATTGACCAAATATCCCTTGGTACCCTTCTTACCAGGCTGTTCTTCGGCCTGGATATAAAGGTGCATTTTACCGGTGCTTTCTTCATAGAAACCAGCGCAATAATTACGGAAGCCCATCAGCTTGGTGTTTTGTCGGTTGTTGCCGTTGGGCGACTTTGTGAACAGCTTGTACATTTTCTCTTCGGTGTTGGGGTTGAACGTAATGTATGTCGAGTTTTGGTTCAGGATCGACAATAACGCTTGTGGCGGAGGAACGTTTACGATGGCACTGGAAATGATCTGAACCATCAGGTGAGGGTCGCCTTCTTCTTTGTTACGCATGTCCTTGGAGTACAGACGGCCGGCGCCGCAGCAGTGCACATCACCGCCAAGGAATGAGACGCGAACGGAACGATCACGCGCGAATTGTTGTAAACGTTCGATAAACCGTTTTCGTTCCACTTCGTGGTTGCCTGCAGTCCAGTCTACGTGCAGGAGCAACCGCGTAAAAGATAGAAGAGAGGTTAGATACGTTCTTAGGCTCAAATAATACAAACTTACGGTCGTTCATGTCATCTAATAATTCAGGATCACCGTTCCACTTGTTCAAAGAGCCGCTGATCAAATCACCCAAAGCACCTGTCTTTCCTGCGAGTGTGGCCAAGTTAAAGCCGGCAGCACCATCCATGGCCTTTTCGAAAAGCGTCAATCTTCATGAACCAGAAAAAGAAACAACAACAACAACAACAGCGAGTTTGATGAGGAGCTGTCCGTATGCTGGTTTTTTTTCCCACACATTCCATGTCCCAAGTAGCTCTTGTCTTTTACCTTGGATAAATCAATGGCACACCAGTGACAACCAACATATGCTTGATACTCATAGGTAACTTGGCCATGGCTTCAAAGACAATATCATAAGTCTTAGGCTGACAGACATCCTGCTTGGTCCGTTCACCACGCGCATCCAATGACAGCACACCAATGTCTGGGCCCAAGGTGGTCACAATGTGCTGGCATGTGGGCGTCGTGCCCATGAGCATACCATCACGCTGGGCGAGTTCCATGGTTGTGTGATGTTGAAACAAAAAGTAGAACCGGCATGCATTCTGGAACAAGACTATCGCAACCCACAAATGCATTCTTCAATTATCATCCTCATATATGTGACATTACACACACAACTCTCTTTTCTTACCAACAAAGCAGTCCGCTTGCTGCATCTCCACGGGATATGAGCCATAACCGTCAATGATATCCTATAAACACACACACACACATTACAAAGCCGGTCTTGTTTGAAATCATGACATACCCCTTGCATATCTTTGTTGTAATCCTCATGCTTACGTGATCATCCCACATGTTAATCGACGGAATGGTGGCAAAAGCAGTAGCGACATATGGATTGTCCTTAAAACTAACCAAAACAAAGGGTTAATCACTATACGATGGCCCTCCAAGAAAACATGTGTGTTGTGCTTACCCAAAGTTCTTTACGTAATTAAACATGTAAAACTCTTCAAAACCAGCGCGCATTTCATTCGACAATTTCATAGCCACACGTTTCTTTGGATCCTTTTCTTCGTTCCAAGGCTTCATAAAATCCTCCTTGAGCAGACGATCCTGATACAGCTGATCACCACCACCAAGCAAGACATGGAACGGCATAACCCGATGCCGATCCAAGACATCCTGCCAGAGCGGCGCCTCCTTTTCACCAAACTTGTCCTTTGTTTCTTGCGGAATATCCGAGAATCCATTGCACGAATGGAACATGAATCGGAACGCTTCGTAATAGCTCGGGATATGGAATGTGTATTGCTGATTATTTAAGATGGAGCTCGTATAGGACGCGGTTTGCGCTTCCTCGTCAAAGGGCAATTGAAGCTCAAAGCGCCAGAACCGATATTGGTTGCGGTAACAATCGAGTTGTTCGGCTGGGAAAGTCAATGTCTTTTGTTTGCCGGAGCCGACCGTTTTCAGTTGCACGGTCAGACTGGGTGGTTGCGTGTGGTCAGACACGATCAAGCAAGAACCACGGTAAATGCCGCGCTGGTAGTCGGTTGAAATGTATTTCAGGAGTGGGCCACAAACTACGTTGCCATTGCCGCTATTGAGTTGTGCGCTCGAACCACCGAGATTCATTCGTTGGAATTCAGCAAGAGGTGGAGGAGGTGGTGCACCACCACCAACACTACTACCGTACCCGGGATTTGGGGTGGTGGGTGACATTGGACCTCCGGATTGTTCGGGTGGAGGATATTGCGAGTACATTTTCTGAGATCGAGTGGGGAGAGATAGAGTGTGGGAGTGGGGAAGGGTGGGTGGGTGGGGGAGAATGGAATTGGAAGAAGGACGAGATGAGGCTTCTGTAAAGTACAAGTAAAGAAAAAGGCCCTAAGAGAGCTGAGTTTATGGGTGGGATGTATAAGAAAAACGCGCAAGGTGACACCAAGTGGCCCTTTTGGCTCGGCAAAACGCAAAATGATTACATACACTTGTGCAGGTGTTGTTTCATAAGAGACATATGAGAGCGAGACAGTGCACGACTATGCCCAACATAATAAAGTAGCTCTGCATGATTGCGTGTCTCTTTCCAACTTGTTTGCTATGGCCATTGCCTAGTTTTCGCTCGAATGACAATTCCCAATCTCGACGTTTGGCAGGTTTCCAGTCGTACCTGGTTCTTTGTTGTTGTTCACTTCCCGAAAATCCAGGGAAATGAGGTCATTGCATCTTGGCTTTTTACCATAAAAGGAGTTTGATAATTACTTTTTGTTTGATGTAGCATATTTACTTTAATACCCCTAGATGAGTGAGCTAATCTTAAGCAAAATGTGTATATGCCATATAGTAGTAATGGCAGATGGCAGGATTATGAAAATCAAACGACGGATTGATGACAATTAGGATGCGCGCTCACACCACCTCCCACATGACCGTGTGTCGTACAATTTCATTGGATGAAAAATAAACAATGTCTTCTTCAGGATCTGTTGATATACGGCGTAAATTACCCGATGACAAGACAGGACTAATTTTGTTGTTGTAGTTTCCAGAAGAACTACATATACGTACAATAACTAAGAGAACCTTATCAGTAGGAAGGTTCTCCTTTCTTTAAACAAGTGTTGTCAGTGCTGTCTACGCGTGCATATCCTTTATACTTATCATCCTTTGTAGTATTTTCTCGTTGAAGTGATAAAGAAAGATATCATCAAACGGTGAGGGCAAGAGGTTCAATGATCCGACGAGTCTTTCGTATGCTCACCTTAAATACTGGATCATCAAGCTTTTAAAAGGACCAAGTGCTGGGAGAACCAGACATAATCCGGTAACTCTATAGTTGAGAAGAAGAAAGAAAAGGGACTCCCAATCTAAAAACACTGCATTATCACTGAGGAATAACTGTTGGTGAAATCCTCTTCCTTACTTATGCGTCGATGGCCTTCACTGACACGTATGATACTTTGCTTTGTAACAAATGTTTCTGCTATCATAGCTTTGTTGGTATTTGCTATATAGGGGTGAGGCTCCGTGTTTGTTAACCAGTTTGTTAATAAATCGAACCACACGTCGGCTCCTGGTGGCCTAAAGATGCCGTGCAAAAGCTGTCCTCTCTAGATAAAGCGTCCGTGATCATAAAACTCACCAGCGAAGGAGTAGCCTCATCATTACTGCTGATCACGGTGGGTGATTTGAATGAACCTGGCATTGTTTCAATAACACAAGAATCGGTAACCTGGCTGCTTTTTTCTTCTTCTTCTTTGCCCTTTACTTCAGGGGCGAGGCTCAGCAAGAAGTGTTGTTGTTGATACCAGTTATAGCTCAAACGGATGGTGGTAGCTATCGTGCGTAAAAAATGGTGATATTTATCATACATCTGTTACGACTTCTGTCAACGGGGAATCGGAAAAGACGTTTGAGGCCGCTGATGCATAGGTATGATACAGTCTTTCAGATAGATTGTTATAAAAAGAGCGACGTATACTTAACGGCAATGGTGCCTCTCTTTCCAGCACATCCGTTTTTATTTTACCTATTAATCATTCACGAGTAAACGTTTTGATTTAAAAGAAAAAACACACTACAATAACATGGAAATTCTTAGCAACCGTTGTGTTATGTATTGTCGCTATGCGATTTCATTCTTGTATTACGAGCGACTTGTTTACTGAGAGATATATGATACAATGTCGCTGTTCTGTAATCCAGCCGCTCCATAACTACACGCTTGCTCATCTATCAAGTTGAAAATAAAATAATATAGTACTACTACGATGACCAGTGCATAGTCATTATTTGTTAGCATGACTACGAGGGATCTTAAATAATAGCTTATATCCTTCTTATCTGGTTGCACTGACTGGAGCATCCGGTGCATGGTCCTAAATTCTCTGTAAAATCATACCATTCTATAAAATTGACTTTAATCAATAGTAGCTAGTACGTAAGAGTATATCGCACAAAACGAAATATATGAAGGCTTTACCAACATGATCGTATGTCAATGCAGATAAAATATCCAGTGATTGGTAATAGCAGATGCAGTTAATTATATGTACAAGCTTTTTATGAGTTGTATCAGATATGTAGTATTGTATATAACAGATATTGATAAAAACATGATGCAGTAAACAATGTCTCTATTGTATATATATTTTCAGCTTATTGCTTTCACCACGTGAGTGTAAGTTTAAGAAATGCGTGTCTTTTACAAAGCTGCGGCTACCGAAGCGTATATTCCCACTTACTGCAAACAATCGTGTCTGTTTCCCGTTAAGCTTTCTTGATAATTTTCCCTGACAGCCAGTTGCTGTTTGGCCATAAGATACTCGTAGTGCACATCATTTTTTTTTGCCTCGGAAGTAACTGAAAAGTTGCAAAATCAATGGATACTTACAATGAAAAGGTATATGCTAGGCATATATAGGTACTTCTTCGTGCAAATTGTCCCACAATCTCTCCCATCTCAGTTAAACTTGAAGAGTACTAATACAGATGTGAAAAGAGCCTATCTCTCCATGCTCTATGTTACAAAATATTTGTGATCCTTTGGAGCATGCGTTCGTGTTGGCGATCATATAGAATCAGTACATATCTGCAGCACCAAAAACAGACGATATTAATTACCGAGTATTTTAACATGTAGAACTTCATCTACTCCAACAGCAACAATAGCTGCATGTTTAACCACGAGTGGAATGAAACTTGAGGGTGGGTTGAAAATGAATAGTCAAACTTATGAACAACGGTTGGCATTTGTGGAAGAAGTAACTCGTGTGTAGCCGTGTGTTATGTCGAAGAATACAAAGTCTGATAAATAAAGTTAAAGAAGAACAACGCGAGATAAAATATATTTATATCAATTTTCGAAGAGTACAAAGTTTGATAAATCATTACATGAAAGTCAAAGAAGAGCGCGAGATTAGATATATGATATCAATCGTTGAAAAGTACAAAGTTTGATAAATCATTACATGAAAGTCAAAGAAGAGCGCGAGATTAGATATATGATATCAATCGTTGAAAAGTACAAAGTTTGATAAATGAAGTCAAAGAAGAAGAGCGCGAGATTACATATACGATATCAATTGTCGAAGAGTACAAAGTTTAACAGATTTTTACATGAAAGTCAAAGAAGAACGCGAGATAAAAAAAAAGTGCCCTCAACAAGCAGTTTGCATGGCCTGAAGGCTACACAAAAAGATGAAGAGTGCAAGAAAAAGAAGAGTCTGTGTGTGAAGGGAAGGGGGAAAAACTCAGTGAAAAAAGTGCCCTCAACAAGCAGTTTGCATGGCCTGAAGGCTAAACAAAAAGATGGAGAGTGCAAGAAAAAGAAGAGTCTGTGTGTGAAGAGAAGGAGGAAAAACTCAGTAAAAAAAGTGCCCTCAACAAGCAGTTTGCATGACCTGAAGGCCACACAAAAAGCATGAAGAGTGCAAGAAAAAGGGTCTATGTGTCCCAAATCATTTGGCCTTTTAAGTCAATCAACCACGAACCCAAGCCATCCTTGGTACCAACGAGCGGGGAGCCATGGCTACACATAGTTTCGAGAGTCAAGTGCAAGCAATCGGTTGAATACTGCTTGTGCGTGGGGAGAAACTTAGAGGGAAGAGGGAAGGGAGAGGGAAGAGGGAAGGGAGAGGGAAGAGGGAAGAGGGAAGGGAGAGGGAAGGAGAAGGAAAAAGAGTTGACTCTCAAAATACCCAAATAAACGGCGTTTGCTGAAAAGTCGGATGCTGTTGTCAATTGCTGAAGCTCGGATGCATGGAGTCGATTGCCGAGTGTCGATCAGGGTTAGACCAGGACCAACGGGAACAAGACCAGGACCAACGGGAACAAGACCAGGACCAACGGAGGCAAGACCAGGACCAACGGGAACAAGACCAGGACCAACGGGAACAAGACCAGGACCAACGGAGGCAAGACCAGGGCCAACGGAAGAGCCAGAGCCAAAGGAAGAGCCAAGGGAAAGACCAGGAGCAACCAAGGGAGTGAAAGAAAAAGAAAAAAGGAAAAAGAAAGTGGCTTGAAAAAAATGGGCGTATTTACATCTTTTGAACTCAAACCCCTGTCTTTAAAAAAACACGTCACTGGCCTTTGATTCGTCGCTTAAAATGATGTGAGAAAGCAAAAGGGTGAGGGAAGAAAAAACATGTGCAGGAAGAGACATAGTCAAGCGGTCAAGCGGTCAAGAAGAAGGCGTGTGTGATCTGCGTGTAATGGTTTGCTCTACGAAGTATGTTTCACCGTATCATGCAGGGCGTGTCCCGACGGTGTCGCCGCTTGTTTTCAAATAAGAAGGTACGTGCACACACAGGGTTTCAGCAACACCGCCCCTGAGTAAAATATCAGAAATGGTTGAATTGTGAAGTGGCATTGTAACAAAGAAGCTCACATAAGAAAAAGCCAAATTACTTTTGTGTCAAACCAAAAAAGAATGCTGCCTTTTCCGTATATGAGAAGAAGCGTTCAAACTAAAGTATAGTTACTTTGATACGATGACTTTCAAGTGAATAATGCACACTGTTACCTTCCTCTTTCTCTTAATATTGCTGACACTGAAGTTTAGCAGCTGTTGTAGCCATATCAACGTACAGGCTGTACGTATGTACTTAGTATGTACAGTCCTAATAAAGTTGAACGTGAAACTGTGTTCTCCACGCTATCCTTCAAAGCGTTTCCAAGCAATCTAGTTTTTACAACAACTGGACAAGCAAACCGACACAACGGTTGGATTAACCTCATCGACTCGTCTCAGCCACTAATAAAACACAAAGTACGATTGAATAGGCAGAGCGACTACTCGAGTACCCCATATGCCACGACATTCTATGACGGATCAACGACATCACGTTTTGCAACGGAATGTACTTGCTCAAGTCAAGCAGCAACAACAGCAGCCCCCAAGAGCAGCAGCATCAGAGAAGATGACATTGTCAACTTTTAAAAAGCTGTTTGACGCGCTTCCGTCGCGTAATCTTTCTGGCAAGGCAGCTTTGAGTACCGCGGCGGGTTTCTTCTCTCCATGCTGCAAAACCGAATAAGAGTGGCAGATCTTTTGTCGCGTGCTAGATCCTATCTGAATATGGGCATGTCGGTCGTAACATTTTGACGGGTCACTGCAAGTCGAGGACTGTAGCAAGAGCTTGTTAAAAGCGTTGTCCTGGCGAGCATGGTAGCAACATGAAAACTAACGCCTGATGATGATCAATGATACGCGTAACGTAGGTTGAATGGCGTACGCGGTGCATCACCTTTGCACGTAATACAGGTTCTGTTATAGTTTACTCGTGTTCTGGACGCTTTCATGTCGCTACACACGCGCAAGATGCGAACTGGATGCGTTTGTTGGAGAGATGGTGATCATGGCGTTATAATATGACTGTCATTTGTTTTAGGCTGCCCATCATCCACGTATACAGGCAGGGCAGCAGCATGGAGGATAACTTGACAACATTCTGACAAATACACATACGGCGACAGCGCATAAACAAGGTTTTTGCGAGTGCAAGCACAAAAGCAGCACGGGCGGTTATGTAGGTGATTGAAGCCAAGGGCAATTTCTTGAGCGTTGCATCAGGCTTTACACTGTGTATACAACAAAGCATCCGGTACTTTGAACACCATTGAAGCCCCCATTACTGTGCGCTATTCCTCCCATCCGTCACGATTGTTTGTGGAGAAGGTAAACCTGTACTACAAGCTGCTGTACATGTCATTTTAACAACTACGGCTGCTGCTACATACCATGTTTCTTTGTCGCTGTACACCGTTTGTCCTTTTCCTTCTTTTGGTGCCGCTGCTTCTCCAGCAACGTATTGTTTCTTTACTTCTCTGCATCAATTTACTCTTGTCGCTTCTGTTTTTGCTCTCTAATGCTATCATATCCGTTGCTGCTCATCAATGGATCTGGTGATTGGATATACTCTTATTATTAAGTTCTTCAGTGATATTTTACCTGAACCGTTTCCGCGATATTTTCAAACATCTTCTGTGTCTTCGTTTACACTTTTGCGTAGTACCTGATTCGTACTGTTGCTTATAAAGTTCCCGCTAAGCAGATTCTTCCTTGCTTGTCTCTTTTGACGTGTTATTTCGCCTCGACTCGGCCAGTCCGAACATTTGGATTATGTGAGTTGTTGGTCAAAGCCGGCACAGTACCGGTTAGTGCAAAGATATATAGGAGGATACATAAGGGCGTTCAACCTTTCCATCTTTGAAAATAAGCACTATTTTTTGCATGTAGCATCACTAGGTATTCTTGATGTATGTGCATACTATAGACTTCATCAATATATCTCCAACAGCTTGTGTATATAGAACCGGCCGACTTCGTGGGTGTTGGATGCGTAACGGTTACATCTTTTTCTTTAACTGGTCGAGGTGAGTTAGAATCCAAGAAACCTGGTAGGTTACTACGTAGTGAAGCAAAGTAATAATTACATTTTCGACGTGCAATAGCTTTTGCGCCTCCCCAATAGCCCTCTATCTAGTTGGTTTCACAGTGGTATCGTGGGTAAAACTTGCAAATGTGCCCTGCTTCTTGTAGCATAGATTATTTGTTCTCGAAAACCGGGTTGCTCCCAGCATGCATATGGAACGGACAGCAAGTAGAGTCTTCATTCGGCCCGTTATCGTCGCACTTTGCCTTCCAGTATTTTCCGGCCGATTGTGTTCGTCCCAAAACCCAGGCTTCCGTTCTTGTAAGATCGACTGAACACCGAGGGCTGTTCATTCCGTGATCTCCTTGGATTCACCCTTCTTGCGCTTAATGAGAGTTGTTGATCGATAAAACGGCTGCTCGACCTTTTTGTAACCGTCCATATACTATCCTTATCGCTTTTGCTATTGAACACGGCTTGACATCTTGCCGTTCAGTCCAAGTCGCGATACAAGGCGTGCATCACTGGCATGCGCACGATGATTGCTGGACTGATAAAAAATAGAGACGGGTACGACACTCAGAGGATGCAGACTTTCAAAAAGGGGTATTGCATCTTCTTGTAAATGCTTAAGTAAATCCCCACTGTCCGTTGCAGCTTTAACTTGGCTTGTTTCATTAGAAAAACAATGTATCATAATGGATCGGTAAGGTATCTATTCCCTGTGTTATAAAACGGTATCGGTATCCAAGACACTAATATATGTATATTATAAGGCCAAGGATAGCCGTGTATTCTTTGGCGCACTTGAACTACAAGGCGGATCATCAAAGGGTCTTGATTAGACCTGTGCTTATGCATGCACTTGCGGACGCCATGGCTACCCTATTGCTTATAGGCGATATGCGTAGCCAAGGCGGACGGTCAGTTTACTGTGTCGTTTGGTGGCTTACTTTCATCATAATATACTCATTCAAAACACTATGACCGGTATTGTCATCCCATCTTTGTTATGGCAGAACATATTTTTGTGTTATGTATCTCATGCTCCCCCCTGGATGGTACCAGCAGCAACAGCCGCTTCTATCATCAACATGTATTGTCATACTTGGAAAATACTTGACTATATTACGGTATGATATAAAAGGACCCTCACTTTCTTATCCGTTCTAATCACCATTACTGTACTCATCAACATGGGAAGTCACCTTCACAAAGTAGTGCTACTGAGAATACCCGTATTATATAAAAAGCTTTGCACTCAAAAGAAAGAGAAAATATAGAAGAAAATATGTTAGTGATGCTCTGTAAATGTTGGCTACAGTACAGTAATAATGTAGATTCTTTAAAGGAAAAATAATTGTATGATAGGTGATTTGAGTAAACAGTCCACTAAAACAAGGCATAACCTATTCGGACGTGTTTCATGTATATGCTGCTGGCTAATTTCCGCATGGAAAGTGTATGATCGGCCACATGGACTAATTAACAGGGTTCTTACACTAACAAGCATCAGGCATTTGCCACCAGCGCGCCAGACAAAAGACAAGAGAAGAGAGAGGGAGGGAGAAATGCATAATGTAAACAATTGACTCCTGTAATTGATAACTCTGCTATAGCTTTTGCGTGTACAATCAACTGTATCAGCCCATAACAAACACGCATCACACCAGGGATGCAGAGACATGATGATATACATAGTCAGGTCCCGCAATAACCGTTTTTCTCCTTTTGGTTTTTTTGGCCATCTATTCAGTCAACGTTTCCGGATCGGTAGACGTTGTTATACTTGGAGGAAGAGCTTGTGGTGTATGCCAGCATTTTAACAAATGCTAGCGAAGCACGACAAATCTCTCTGGTACACTTTAAAGTTTCTTTTCCGCTTCTTTGGAAAAGTCAGGGTCTTTGAGTATTGTCTGCATAAAATATCGCAAAAATGTACAACAATGTGTCAATAAAAGAAACTTAAAAAATTTATCTGCCACTTCTATTTCACCCTTTACGATACGATAAATGAAAGCGATATGTTTGCTCCACATAAGTACTACGCTACTATTTTAATCAAAGCTGATTAATAATAGTCATATATATCATGTATTGATCTGACATTGTGTGAGTACATACAGTAACAGCACTTTGACAAGTCTCATGATAGGTGGAATATTTAAGTAGCTTTTATTTATGTACAGTTTACAAGAAAATTATGTATTAAAGACGGCTTGAATGGAAATAGATGCGTGTTGCAGCTTGGGGTAAAATAAGAGAGAGAGAGAGAGAGAGAGAGAGAGAGAGAGAGAGAGAGAGAGAGAGAGAGAGAGAGAGAGAGAGAGAGAGAGAGAGAGAGAGAGAGAGAGAGAGAGAGAGAGGGACATTGAAACGGGTGGGAAACGATGTAGCACGGATATGTATATCATATCGCAAGATCCAATATGGTACGTTCACTGACACCGTGATGCGTCAATAGCTGTTTATCTTCTTCATCCACACTCTCTCCTGTTGTGATCGATGATGATGTTGGAGAGGTAGTAGTAGAAGTTGCTAGCGACGTATCTGCAAAATGAGCAAACAAGTGTTTCAGAATAACCGTAAACGATCGAGCATTTTCTTCGGCAAGCAGTGCATCGGCAATTGTGCATACGCTGATATAGATTTGTCGGTACGCAGTTGGCAGCTGATGAAGATAGTGTTGTTGCGGTACAGCGGCAGCAGCATTGGTGTTCTCGGGATCTTGTTGTTGTTGCTGTTGTTGCCGGGGCCATCCACGCACCAAAGCCTGTTCCAATGCAGACCAGTTTTGTACTAATGCACGATAATGATCCTGGGTATTTTGCTGACGCGTCCTATCTTCCACTGCCTTCACTTGCTGCTTCAAGTTTCGCATCGCTTCGGCTTGTGATTGGAACCATACAGAGAAACAGTCATCGTTATGGCTCCACCCAGACACATGGTTGAGATACACCATGCCAGAGAGAACAGCAAGTCGTGGGACAGCAATGAATGTAATGGGGTCCAAGTCTTGAATCATTGAGTGGCTAATGATGTTTTGTGACAAGGCTCGATGTAAGGTCGTTGGTAAAAGTCGAGTAAACGAGTCACTGAATAGCTCCTGAGGCAAAGGTCGATACGTTCTTGTAGGAGTCGTCGTCGTCATGATAGGCATTTCTGCGGATGCAATCTTTTGTGATAAGAGCGAGTCCTGGTCATCATGACTACTGCTACTACCAAATACAACATGACCATAACAATGGTAGAGCTTGGATTCAAACCGGTCCCAATGGCGCATGAAGTCATCTAGGCGTGTTTGCAACAAGTGGGTCGTGGCCAGTATGAACGCACGGGCCGGCTGAAGTGCTTGGGCACGAGCGACTTTACGCAGTAGTTCAAGGGAGATCAACAGTCGATCAGCGTCGGGTTTAAGTTGCTCTGTGTAAAGCTCCAGATGGCGCACATTGTAGTTGTGGTGAAGTGCTTGGGCGGCAAACAGGACAGGTTCTTGCAACCGTTTCTGCTGGTGGTTGTGGTGTGATGTAATAAGAACGGGGGAGAGGGAGTAAGAAGGGGGAGATCGGCGGTTGGTTGTGGTTGTGTTGCTTGTGCATGAGCAGATCGCTCTGTGTAACAGTAGCAACGTGTCAAGGTAGATCATTTGTTGTCGATGCACAGTGTCAATGACGTTCCTTTGTTCGTTCACCCCATCAATCTGACGTAGACTGTCAAGCCATTGTTCGTCTTTTGGAATTTAAAGATTAGACTCTTGCTATAATCACTATCTCATATACATCATAGTTACAGTACTGTAGAGAAAAACGTACCCGCATGATAGAGCAGGGAAAGCAGATTATCTCGCTCTAGCTTTGGCACCTTGTCACCAGGTTGAAGGGGCCATGTCCTGATGTCGAATACAGAACTCGGAATTACGGAGGGTGGTGATGGCTGTGCTACTGACGGATGACTGGCATGATTGACAGCGAGTCGAATGGTGTACAGATAAAGTGCATCCATGATGTCTTACAAAGAGAGAGAGAGAGATAGAGTGTGTGTGTGTGTGTGTGCGTGGTACGATAAACGTGTGAGAAAGGAAAGAAAAGAAGAGAAGAAGGCAAGAAAACAAGGTTTTATAAGGGTTCTCTCTTTTCTGTCAGTAGTAGTAATAATGGTAGTGGTTGCAGTGGTCTATATGAGCGGGGGCAAGGCCGGCAACTTTCTATATTTAACCAACAAGGGGTTATTGTAGGCGGATAATAGGGAAGAAGGAGACAAGCACAAAAGATAGAAAGAAAGAGAGAGTGGGAAAGAGAAAGCAAATAACCTTAACACCCCTGCTTTTTTTTATATCCATCATTTCGCTCACGACCCTCTCCCTCACAACGTCGTCGATCCACTGGCATGGTGATTGGATGGATAAGATGCATGCAAATGCACGCCTGGGGTTAACACACTCTGCTACTTATCCAGTAAGGGAGAGAGAGAGAGAGAGAGAGCCCTTTAATGATGATGATGATGATGATGATAATTGCTGAACTTTATTACAGTTGAAGATCTTCTTCGCTCTGCTCCAGATGTCCATGCAGTCTCTGTAACCCAAGATCGACATAATAAAAAGTAGAAGAATAAAAAATACTGTATGTTAATTATGCACAGGGTGCTTTGATTTTCTCATACCACTTTCCCCATCATCATCATCTTTGTCATCCAACATCCTCTCCAGCAATTATCGAATGGGAAAAAGCTACCTGAATTCTTGGACCATCGATATGTTCTCTGCCTGCAAGTTCCATCAACCGGTCAACAAAAGTCAGTACAGACCGTTGCATATAAATGAGTGACGTCTCGGGGTTCATCATGATGTTCCCCTGCTGTCGGGTATGAGTGTTATTCCTTCGTTTACTGCGCGTCGTCTCAATCACCGCCAAGGCGCGCACCACAATTTCCACAAGCGTCGATGCAAGGTTCTCCAGCACATTGAGTGTCTCGGAATCAAACTGTGTTGTTGTGCTGCGTTCTTCCTCTTGCTCCAAGTCCTTGCTCACTTTGTCCTGCGTAGTCGTCAGGGATACTTCTTGCAGTGTTTGTAGCGACGTCAGGATTTGAACAATCCCGTCCATCCATTGCATAAGTCGGATTTCGACCCGTGCCGTAGACGATGCAGCTGTTGTGCTACTGTGACTAAGAGTAGCAGTATTAGCAGTACTGTTCGTGGTTGTGGATGATCTTGTTGCAGCTGTAGTTGTTGTGGTTGCTGCTGCAGATGTCGAATTAGCCATCTTGACGTCGGCAAGACTATTATTACTGCTAGTGCTTGTGCTGCTGCTCGATGTACATGTAGAAGATTTCGGCGATCCTTGTTTGTTCACCTGCTGCGTCTCGCGCAGAAACTCCAAATTTTCTGAGGCCCACTGACCATAGATAGTGGCAAGTATCCGACATCCGTACGTCAATTTTCGTGATGGTAGACCAATAAAGGAGATGACAGATGCGATAAACTCCACGCCATTTTGGATCGATTCCATCAACTGTTTAATAACATTCGATATTTAAGGTTCTTGTTCCCCTGTGCTCTAATCTCCCCCCCCCAAATAAATAAACCTTCCTCAACCCTGAATATCACCATGATATAAAGTAATCACCTTATCCCCATCAGGATGATGTAAAAGTTCCCGCATATCTGTCACCAGACTCTGCAACTTGGAGCACTCCGTATCGAGTTCGCTAATAAGGCCGATGCACAAGTTGTAGAACCATCCTTTCACTGTGGCAATCAGCTGTTCGTCGACGGGCATTCCCATGGCCTTCCATTCTAGTCCATTCTGCACAAGGTTGTCTCCATACAAAGTCATCTTTGATTCAAGCACAGATTGTAACCTTCGGATATCATACAGTAAATCGCTTGTGCGTGGTATTGCTTGAATTACGAGTTCTTTCATATCTTCGATTGACTAATATCATAAAAGGTATTTAACTAACTGTTTTAGTTTACTTTGAACGACACATACACTCTTTTACCTGTACATAAGTAGCAATTTTGTTGATGTGTCCTTCAAACGCTCTCCATTCTGGGAATATATCCTATCAAACAAGATAAGCTATCATTGCTATATTGCTTCTGTTCAGGAAGAAAACAAAAAGAAGACAAAAGACTTACTGCAAACGCTACCGAGCGATCGCCTCTTAATTCATCGGCAATCTTTAATATTCGATCGAGATTCTCCTTTACGTTTTGAAATCGCTGATCGTCTGACTTTGTATGGTCGGCGGTGTCAATCTGTGTCAAACAGTGTTGTAGCTGGTTTTGCTTTTCATGAAACGCTTGTCGATACTCGAGAATATTGAGATTCTGTCGTTGTGCTTGTGTTTTGAGCCACTGATCAAAGTCCATGGCTACTACCATTCTGTTTGGTTGTTGGTTGTTGTTTGTGGCAGCTTGCATTCCTGATATGCGTCGTAGAAAAGTAGCGTCCTGTTGTTGCTGTTGGCCACCACCAAAATTGGTGTTGAAACCGTCATGATAGCCAGTATTACTATTGTTGTTGAATCGACGTAATACTGAACTTTTCCGTATAGGTCGTTTATATACACGTGGAGGTACAGGTTTGTTGATGCTATTATTATAAATGCTATTATTGTTGTTGTTATTGGTATCCATATCAACGTCATGCTCGGTTGGTGTTAATGTTGTTGCCGCAGGTCTGTTATTTTCGGGGCCGGTCATGGACAAGTGCCTTGCAATGTCGTTGGCCAAACTGTTGGATATTCGTTGCATCTTGCGATCGCGGGCATTGTCTGAGAAGGTGCTGCGCTTTCGTTTAGTCGTCAATAACGAGCCGTTACTGTTGTTGACAGCTGCCTGGAACCCTGTTTTTTTTCATGTGAGTTTGACAATCGCACTTTTATTTTCATTAAGCGTCATTTACCTGGGCGCAACATGGAAGTCGGTCTTGTACTTGACACGTCAGATCGCTTATGTGTCTGACCCTTATTTTCGATCTCAAAGCTATCCTCTACAATAAATGAATTAGTTCCTAACATGATAAGATCTCGAGCAAACTAACAAACAAATAAATTACTTGACATGTATTTAATACGTACCTAGCAGCCCAATTATTGTTTTTGTACAATCTTCCCAAATTGTCGCATCAGATCGTGTGGTGGCACCCCACATTGGCGGATCGTCCATGATCGAAAGAAATAATGACGGAACGAGAAACGGAATAGAAAACGCCGGGTTTTTTTGATGCAACAGCGTTTTGTTCCATTAACAAAGTCCGCTTATTATGAGTGGCCAGTGGGTGGGTGGTGGAATTGGGGGGACTTTATATCGTCTAATTGTAAAACTGATATATTATAGCACCCAAATAGAGATTTAGTCTCACACACTTGCACCTACCCAACCCAGAGAGTGGCGCCCTTCTTTTTTTTTCCTTGTGTGCTGTCTTTCTCTTTTTCTTACCGGAAACTTTGTTCATGAACCTCTCTGAACTTATACATCGGTCTGCCGACGAAAGTCCATCGGCTGTTCATTGCACCTACGACCAATTCCAGCCAACTCCACCTCCCAGCACCACCGCTGCAGATGCTATGCAACTCTACAATAATGAGGTCCTCGAATCCCGCTTTGTAACTGCAAAGACGAACGATGAGGGTATGTACAGTCCAGCCAAGGTACGTTGTCTTGCCTTTATACATGTATAATGTTGACCCCCTCTCCTTATCGTTAATGAGGGATGAGAGATAATATATTATTTCCCACATATAATTACCACTTACTATATATACAATTGCAAAAGTGGCAACTTTAAGAAAGCTTACCTTGATTATGTTATTGCATAACTTTTGTAGCTGTTGCCAATGTCAAGCCCTACAACCAGCAGCAGTAGTTGGCATTACAATCCAGCAACAGGCGAAAGCTCACGTTCGCCCTATGCTAGTACCCTTTCCGACCAGTCCGATCGACCACGGTTACTGCTACCTGATTCACCACCACCACCAGCAGCTTCTACTGGTTTAACGGGTACAGCAGCAACAGCAACAACAGCAACAACAGCTCATCCCCCTCCTCCTTCGTCTTCATCAGTTTGTTCTAATACAACTAATACTGCAACCATCACATCTGTGGCTGCTTTGATTACAAGGGGAGGAGCTTCAGCAGGAGAAGGAGGAGGAACAGGAGGAGGAACAGGTACGCCTGCGAGCACGGACTCACCTGCATCACCCGTACCCATGGACCGCCTAACAGGATCACCTCGTTTCACCACCACCGGATCACCTGAGTTCCATCCAAATCAAAATCACCACCACCACCATCATCATGTTGCCACCATCATGGACAACAATAGAAACAGCAATAGTGATATAATCAGTAGTAACAACTCCATTGCCAGCTTATATTCACAAAAAAACAACGCTCGAAACCGTATACTGACAATCACAGGCCAGAGCGTCACCAAGGACAACATCGAAGAAGGCTATGTACAATTTGTCCTGCAACATGATCCCCAATCCGTCAACGATAGCATTGAAAGCTTAATGTATGTGAAACGCAAGTTTTCATCTGTTCCCAAAACCGGTGACTTGTCATATACGACGTGGGATGTGTTTAATTTAGTCAAAAAGCTTCATAATCAACAGGTACGCTTGCTTGTAAAGGAAAAGATCGAGAGATAGGTAGAAAAGTGACATATAATTTTACTTTATATATATATATATATATAGATCAAGAATTGGTCGCAATTGGTTGGACAACTTGGATTATCTGACATGACGGGCCGTCCCCAATTTGCACAACGCGTAAAACGATGGATGCGAAAATATAGAATAGACTGTTATTTTGATTATCTACTTGGCAACCCTTACAATTTTTATGCGACCGACGACAAATCTTCAGGATGCTTAACAATGGGCAATTACCAAAAACGTAAAGCAGGCAGCAGCAAAACATCGTTAGCAGCAACATCAGCAGCAGCGGCAACCGTTACAGATGACACAGATTCGGTAAAATCATCAGGATCAGGCAATATTGGCGGTACTAGTAGTGGACGAACACGGAAACGATCGCGATATTATTTATTGACCGATGAAGATGACGAAGATGAAGAGGACGATAACAATGGAACTAGCGATGATGAGGAACGACAACGACGCAGTACGCCTATTGTTCTTGCTGGAAGTCGAAAACGATCTAGAATGTCACCCCATCAACATGTCAGTACTGAAAGCATGCGGCTCTCGAAAGCATTACAGGAAAATAATCATCGGCTATCCGAACCTGACGATGATGATCATGACGACAGCCATCATCACAACTATAGTCGTGATGCTGATGCTGATGGTGACCGTACCTTGACGGATGATGATGATGTTAATGACGATATGCAAGACGGCGGTGACGATGGCGAAGATCGAGACAACAATAGTTACCATGACGATAATGAGCATAACCATATCAACTATGATGCCAATGACGACGAAATGGATGAGGGAGACGAAGAAGACGAACTTGCATCCACTTCCTCATCCTCTACCGTATCACAATCAGCAACGACACGAGGTGTCAACCAAAGACCTAATAACGACCCTATAGCTACTACCACTACTACCACTAATACTATACCATTCTTAAACAACACATCAAGAACTACAACAACGACTACGGCTGGACCGATTTCCTCTTCTTCTTCTTCTGTCCCTGAACATCCCTCAACCATTCCCTCACCATCCGCATTAACAACACAACAACAACAACAACAACAACAGCCATGTTCTGATTGTAGCCAAATGCAAGGAACGGTCCATTCTTTACGGAACGATGTGTCCGAGTTGAAAACACAAGTTGCATCGTTACAAGCCCGGTTAGACGAAGAATTACAAAGCAAACAAACGATGGCTAAACAGATTTCTCGGTTCGAGAGCATGTGTGTCCATTATGATAACTGGCGGACCAAGCTAGCAGTGCATTTGCTGCAAAACCCTTTCAACATGGAATTGATGGAGCGGAAACGCGATTCTTCTTGCAACAATACAGCAGCCACTCCATAAATAGCATCGACACCTTTTGTATACGCACATTACATTTCTTCCCTCTATACTCCTTTTTTCTAGTACTTTTGTAAAAAACAATAATAACTATCTTCCCTTTCCTCTTACCTCATTCCACTTACACATGCACCCGTCTCTTCCCCTCTTTCTAATCTACTACTACTACTCCTATCATCATCATCATCATCATCATGTACATATATTATAATATAGGAATCTATATTGTGTGTTGAAATTTCCTTTTATCACACACATCAAACCATATACTCGTTCCTTGAAATGCCCGCCCTTCCCCCTCGTCCTCCCCACGTTTCTCTCTCCTGATATAAAGAACAGGGCGGGCTGATCTCCTGATAATTTGGCGCGAGAATTTTTAGCTGGTTTGAGCGTAAGGCCGTGGCGCATGGTGCTTTTTCATTCTTAAATGGTGGCTATAATGTACAGACACAGTGAGATGAGACAGCAAACCACAGCGATAATTTACTTGTTATGATAGTACATCAAACTATGTGTCCGAGAAGTCTACTGGCGTGTCTGTCATGCCACGATCCGGACGCATTACACTGTTGAATAATGACAGTGGTTGGATAAAAGTGGCTTGAATAGGAAATTGAAAGTATGAGTTTGCTATCAAGTGGATGAGTGATTGGAAGAAAAATACGTACTACGAAAGTTATACTGGCCTAGGATAGGTTTACATACAATGCATGCACAGCATTTAGGCTTATTTTAAAGACTATGCAACTTGATCCTGATGCATAAGAGAATCAAGGTGTTCAAAAGTGGCACGCATACTATTGATTTAAATGATTTGACTTATAACCGAGGTATGGTTATAGACTAGTCAGCAAGGATCTTACTCTTTCTTTCTTTTTTGTTTTGTATGATGTATTTGCCGTCCACCTCGATTCTAAGAATGCCGTAAAGAGTATCAGTTGTCTTTATGATCCAGCTATGTCGAGTGATGTTGTATATATCATATAATCCGTTTGCTGATATATGGTGTGCTTGCAAAATGAGATGATCAGGAAACTTTCACTTTCATGTTAAAGGGTCAGACAGCAGTGTTGCGCATTAAAAAGCTGCCCTTCAAAGACTTGCACTTGTGCCCAAGCCCTGGTTTTGCAATTCCTGATGTGATATACATACAGGATCCGCATCTATTTTTTTAACTCCAATAGGAAAAAAAGAAGACTCGCACATTTGCGACTTGCAAATGGGTGGATATGATTTACACTTTATCGAGGTAAAAACAGCTTCCATTGATGCAATATCAGCTGGCTGACGCATGCTTTGCGTCTTTTTCAAAACATAAAATGACGTGGTTACTGCAAGATGAATATATGAAAGCGTAAGTGTTTGAATGGTTAGTAGAGTGGGGATACCCAAAGACCAAATGTTTCAACGGAACGTATGTATCGTACATCGTTTCTGACAGATAATTAACGAGGTAGTGTTATGGTGCATACTGACTTAAACCATCAAGATAATTCAATTACCGACCAAGAAACAATTCGTATCAGAGTTGGAAACTATGTTTATTGATGTATTTTGAACAGATCTTACGGTTTACTTTTTGAATTAGCATGAAAGAGCATTTTCGAGCCTGTGATTAGAGTTAAAGTTTTGTCGGAAGTTAAAAATGTCAGCAGGAGTCGCGTTATTAAATGGGGTTTGCCTGATAAAAGACAAAAACGCGCAAAAGAGCAAGCAACATTTGCCAAAGATGGTCGTTTCCAACAATTAGTCCCAGCAATTCAACAACCAGTTGTTGAGATTCCGTTCGCAGAAGTCATGATTGAAACCGAACCCAACGACTTTGAATTCTTGCCTTCTTGTAAGCCGAAACAGTAACACTGGCACCACCGTATGGAACAACGAAGCAGTGGGATCGAAGCGCGGAAGCGGAAGATACTGGGGGTACTGGTAGAACTACCAAGTGTTGCCGAAATGATAAGACTGCAGAGAAGAAAAAGGGCAGTTACAAAATCACCAACTTCTTTTTTCCTCGGTATCAGTAGATCAGTACCGCGAAAATGACCGCGACCACTTTGACAAAGTAGCCACGGTAGATGATACCATCCCTTTCATGAGCAGCCAGGAAGGATTCGGACGCTTTACATCAATCATCACTCCAATCGCAAATACAAGAAAAAACGATAAACGAGCCCTTAACGATTATGAGTTGCGAAAACATATTAGTGCTCACGTCTATTTCCGAGAGCTGCTGAATGACCGGCGGGTAAAGCAGGCATCCAAAACGGCGGCTGTAATTGCATGGATCGAGCCGTCAGAAAATTATCGTCCCCGCGCCATTGTATCATATGCCAAAGAATTTTTACGCTTCGGTAAAATTTCATCTCATTAGCAAGAAAAACACACCAAACACCTTTCGTTTTTGAGCTAAAGTAGCAGCATTACAATGGCGGAAAAACACTAAGCCAGAGAAAAGAGGAATTCCGGAAGTGCTCAATTATTTAAACGAAGTCGCTATTCCAGACCTTCTTGCTCTTCCAGGACATATCTCGCCTTCAGTACTTTGAATCTTTTGTTTGTTTGAAGGGGAGCTACACCTACCGAGCCAACAAAAAGATGTTTATTACCGTGGTCATGAGCGCGATGATGTTGTTCAGTACCGCCAAGAGTGGCTGCAAAAATGGTTGAATACAGCCGCTTTGTGAAAACGTACGACGACGACGATGTTTCAGTTGAGCAACAACCTCTTCTACCAGGCGGCCAAAAGAAGATCATTATGGTGACGCAAGATGAATTCGAACGACTGCAAGACCAACCTCTGGCTGTATGAGGGTGAAAATCCCATCCGTAAAAAGAGTCCAGGAGGATCCATTATGGTTAGCTAATCTTAATGCCCTCGCCATGGAGCCATGAGGATCAAAAACTGGAAATCTCGCAGACTGTTTTATGCTGGTGCCAACCGAGAAGGTTATTGGACGTCAAAGGATACGATCGAGCAACTGAAAGAAGAAGCCATACCATTCTTTGAAGCACTTCATCCAGACTGTCAAGCGCTATTTTTGTTTGATCAATCAAGCAATCACAATGCTTATGGAGCAAGTGCGAAACTTGTAGGCCGTTTTGGCTTGAAAGATAAAGTCCTCAAGGGTATTGAGAAATGTGTGATTTTGCCAAGCAAGTACGTCAGTCCAGATGGGAATGTAGTTATCCAGAACTTTTTGCACCCTTGAGATTAAGCAAAAGAAGACAGCAAGTGGTGTGAAAGAAGATCGCATTTGGACCTTTGAGGCCATCAGAACCATTTTGGAAGAGCGTGGCCTGGGACTTTGAAAGGAATTTGAGGAAAAAAAAAGCATTGGAAAACCAATTGCGAACAGCCATCGAATGCTGATCGCACTTGTTGCCCTTATTATATGTTAGAGGGTCAACCCGACTTTGTTGCGCAGAAAGCGCGTTACACGAGACTGTTCTCAAGCCTGGTCCTCTTATCCCAAGTACTATTGCAAAACAAAATTAAATAGAAAGATACTGGAGTGTTGCCAAGCGTATTGCAAGAATTGAGTGCGATCGTACATTTTCATCACTAAGAGATAACCTTGATAGCTTTCTAGATCAAGTCTCCCCACCTGATGCTAAGCCTCTAGAAATCCGCCGTTATTACAATCGCTGCTGGCAATATATTCACGCATACGATGATATGAAAGCTGGAAACGCGATGCTTTTAAGCTTGTTGAAAAGTGTATCTCAAAAAGTTTTAAATCCCACCGAACACTCAGAGTAAATGACATTACACTAAATTAATGGTCAAAACGCCCAATAATTCAATCGCCATACTTTAATATTACATATGATATTCATCTCAATCAACGATGGCTCCTGCGCCCCTATCAGCTATACTATTTACCAGCGGGATTTTAGATGCTGAACTGTTAAACAGTGCAAACAACTAGTATTTTTACTATTGATCCGCTCAATATGATATAACGATATATCTATTGGTTTATATCGCATATCGTAATAGCGAATAAGTGACAATTCTTAGCTTAATTTGATAACTCATCACTATATCGAAATATTACTATATCGAATATCACTATAGCGAGCGAGCACCGATGTAGTACTACAGTGAAACATTTCTCTATATTTTGCAAGTACTTCTTTTGTTCTAGGAAGAAGATTGCAATGATGGCAAAAAGGAATTGAAAAATAGGTTTATTTTTTTAGTAATATAAGCTTCTAGTAGTAAAATTATATCTAAAGAATCGTGCATTCCTACAAATGTTAGTAAGCTTTTGTCCGTGGTAACGATAGCCCTCTGTTTTTTTTGTCTTTCAATAATTTTTTCTTCAACTACATAATATACTGATTTATGGGATTCGTCTGTGGCAGTTGTTACGGTCTTTTTCGTCTTGATAACTGTCGTCTTCACTAGCTTGAGGTACATGATATCTGTGTGATTTGCTTGTTGGTATCTTCGGTCCTTTTTGGTGTGTTATCATGTCGTGTTATTTTTGCATTCGATTATGTATGTCGATCTGTTTTTTTTTTCTTTTTTTTTTGCGCAGCCTTCGCTAAATGCTCTGTTGTCTTGAGCTCGACGCGAATGATATGGAGGCCGTTGAAGGCGATAATAGACTGTGCTTGTGGCTTTGTATCGATGATGATCCTCAGCGCTGTATTTTGTCTCTTAAATCATATCAATAAGCCTTTCACGTTAGTTATCAAAGTCTTATTCTAAAGTAAATCCGTGTGTCTTATTTGTACTTACTGTTGATTAATTTCACTTTATAGTTGCCCAAGTCTTGCTTTTCAGTCTGGTAGTAAAATCGACTGCAATTTGATATCGCTTGGTTTGTTTTGTATGTAATACTGTGTGTCTTGTGTAGACATCATCTTTTCTTCGCTGATATAAATTGTTACTGTTGTTGCATGTGTTAGCTTTTGATGCGATGTTGATCGGGTATGTGGTGCGGTCGTAAGCAAGCTTGCTTAAGGTGATATGTAAGACAGCCACCGACTTGTTGACGTTTTCTTGGTGCCGTATTGTACGAAAGGCAGTGATGATTTTTTTTTCTTGACATTTGTTTCTGACTTTTTGTTGCCTTGAATTTCGCTACTTTTGCTTTCCGTCGTCACAGACCGCGTGATGCTTGGTGTTGTTTTTACATTCTCTCTAATCTACTACTAATCTACTTCCTGATTTTCTTTTCTTTTCTTTTTTCTTTTTTTTTACTCGTATTTTGAGGGGCTATCGTTACCTGGACCGTAACTTACCAACGCTTTGTCAGAAGAGATTTCCTGGGTAGAATATGTCGAATGTTGTTGCATGAATAGCGGCGTTCACTAATGATATGATTGTAGCAAAGTCATAATGAGCAGATAATTTTACAAAAGCATGAATAGTCAATTGTTTCTCTTGGTTTTGCTTCTTACCATGATACAGCAATGTATGCTTCTTCTGTTTCGATTTCCAAGGTAGTGTACTAATGACTGTCCTTGTAGCTAACGCTTGATATAGAAGAAATGACAGAAAGCCTCCCTTGTTTTGCTGCGTGCCATCCATTGATTTGTCATGGATACACATGCACAATGCCTTCCTTAAGGTAGTATCATCGAGTAGTCATGTCGCCCACCGCTTTTACTAAAAGATCATTCAATCAAAAATTCACACATCAATGCTACTGGCTTCATATTTCCCGCTCCTTTATCATATATGAAAGTTCAATTACCTCAAAAGTTCTCTCCTGTTAACGGTCAACCTGCTGCCATAAACAATATGTGTGTGCGAATGTCAATAATGCGCAGTTCTTGAATGCATGTCCCGTGCGACAGGAGCCATCGACCGATTCTCTCGTCGAGTAGCATTTATCGGTTGTGCGATCAGTGTCTTCAACGTGAGCTCGTCAGCATGCATTCGAAAAACGGATACGGATAGTGTCGCCATTATTGCGTCTACGCAATGCCGACGGATCCCTCTGGTAATAATGTGCCCCTTGTTGATAGTGACCTTTAGACGCAGTGTTTGCTTGATGCGTCTTGGACAGGTGTGCTTCTCGTCCCTTCTTTTGTCCCCATTGCTGCTTCACCACTAAAGCAGAAATGAAACCGCCACGATAATATGATACTGCTCCATCAAATAGCCGTGTCCCGTGTGCATCGT